GGGGGGGGTTTTTATAGCTGGGCACATTTGTGAGATGAAGGTAGGGAACCTTGTGGGGCCAATCCGGGGGAGGTTTTCTTCCCCCCCCCGGTATTGGCCCCCCCCCCCCCCCCCCTCAGGAGAAAAAGCTTGGTAATCTAAACGGCTTTGAACATGTTTCCCTCATTGCGAAGGGGGTCCAAATACAAAGAAAGCCTCCGTGCTGCACGTTGCTGTGATGAGAGAGAAGCCTGGAATGTGTCACCTCCATCCTTCACTGAGCTGCAAGGGAAACTTCAAGAGCTCACGGTAAACATTTAGAAAAGGGACCACATGCAACTCAATCACAGCACAAACAGTCTCTGCCCCCCCGGTGAGCCTCACCGCGTCAGCGGAGACGAGGACATGGTGGATCCTCGGGCTCAGGTATGTTGCATTCAGGTGCCGTTTGGATCCCGCGTCACGGGGCGAGACGTCGCGGCGCGGACACGCGGCGCATCCCGGCGGCGCGCTCCGACGCGCGTTCCATGGAGCCGCTTCCCCGCGGAGCTGCTCCGGCTTCTCTGTTCTTCAACTCGTTGGTTTTCTCCGAGTGGAACTTGCGGATGTTCCGCTGCAGAACTCGCGCATCCAAAACGGCTGTGACTCACTTCCCAAAACGCATCCGTTTTGTCCTCCGGGACGAGAAGAAGAACCGCAGCTGGGATTCACATTATTCCAGATGTGAGAGGGTCCGGCTTGGAACCTTCTCGGTTATTGTTCAGCAGGTAAGTTGGACCTCCAGAAGATGTTCCTCCTCTTCTCTCTGTGGCCGCATTCCACTCAGCGCACCGTGCGGCGGGAATAAAGAGTCACCGGGAGCGCACTTCTAGTCCTGCACCGCGCACGTGATGTGTGCACGAGTCTCTCTCTCTCTCTCTCTCTCTCTCTCTCTCTCTCTCTCTCTCTCTCTCTCTCTCTCTCTACCTGAGTCGCATTCCTGCGGTGAACGCGCCTCTCTCCTCCAATCAGGGCGCAGCAGCTCCTGTGACTCAACGTTTCCTGATTGATTAAACTATCACTTATTATTATAATCACTTACTGATGTGTTTGGATCATAAATACGTTGACTAAAATAAACGGTAAAAAAAAGATGAAGCGACGGGTGGTACGTATTCGTTTTACATAAATAACAAAGTGGTTAAACTGCTTAAATTAAAGAATTATCATTTCTAGATTTATTAAGGTTCAATAACTATATTGAGCACACAGACACTGTATGACAGCTCATATCTCCACTAATTGGGTTTTGTTTGGCACCAGTTGCACATTATTCTTGTTCTGAAAACATATGCAACTTGTACATTTTGACTTGTTTTTCACAGGTTTTACTCGTTATTATCTTGAAAAGATGTTCACTGCAAACCAGGTTCATTACAGCCACAACAAACTACTTTCTGCCACATATTTGTTTTGTTTTGGCCGCTTGTTCCAAAGAGATGGTCGTACATTTCATTTCTTTGTTTCTGATAATCTGGTTTACTTGAAAGTGTTATTATTATTATTATTATAATAATGAAGACGTATAATTTGTTTGGCGCGTGAACGTTTTCCTTCCTCCAAAGTGGATCGTGACAGAAACACTTTGAGAACCGACGCTTCACAGTGACCTGAACGGTGTCATTCTTCCACCTGATGTTGCAGTGAAAGCAGTGCATTCTGGGAGTCATTGCGCTTGTTCATCGACTGTAAGAAGAGGACGTGGTTATCGTGACGTTACACGTTGGTTTGACGCCTCAAGTTCAGTGAATTTGGCTGTCGACATCATGAATTGCTTTCACAATGTTTACTGAGGGAATAACTCCAGAGAGAAGTAGAGTCATTTCCTCATAGACGTCTATGGGAGCAGAGGAGTCGCCCCCTGCTGGTCACTACAGAGAAGTAGAGTCATTTCCTCATAGACGTCTATGGGAGCAGAGGAGTCGCCCCCTGCTGGTCACTACAGAGAAGTAGAGTCATTTCCTCATAGACGTCTATGGGAGCAGAGTCGCCGCCCCCTGCTGGTCACTACAGAGAAGTAGAGTCATTTCCTCATAGACGTCTATGGGAGCAGAGGAGTCGCCCCCTGCTGGTCACTACAGAGAAGTAGAGTCATTTCCTCATAGACGTCTATGGGAGCAGAGGAGTCGCCCCCTGCTGGTCACTACAGAGAAGTAGAGTCATTTCCTCATAGACGTCTATGGGAGCAGAGGAGTCGCCCCCTGCTGGTCACTACAGAGAAGTAGAGTCATTTCCTCATAGACGTCTATGGGAGCAGAGGAGTCATCTGTATGAAATATAATAATCACATAGAGCAGCAAATTAATACTAAAACTGTCTTGAGGAGATTGATTGAATACATTTTATTTTGTTCACATTCAGAGTTCAGCCCCACTCCAAAAAAAACGAAGAAGAAGAAGATATAAGTTATGAGAACTCCGACTGTTTACACTCGCAACAAGGTGACGGCATCAACGTGGATCAGCGTCTTCAGGAGAGCCTGCAGGAACCTCCTGCTTCCATCTGGAGCTGCCCTCCGTCACCCGTGCACCACGTGGACGTACAGGTGGAGGCGGCGTCCCCGCGGTTCCGTGCGCGGGGGCCGACCGAGCAGCTGTGTCAGAAGCGAGCGACCCGGAGGGCCGAGGGTTCTGCTTTAAATGCAGAAGACGGAACAAAAAGAACAGCTGGCGGCAGAGAGAGAATAACACACACACACACACACACACAGACACACACACACAGCAGCCTCCAGTAAATACCACCAACTACATTTACTGGACTGTTTAAATACTGTAAAAACTGGCCGAACATCTGCGTGAGAGCGAGAGTTTACGGGAAGCAAACAGCGGCGTGCTGCTAAAACACGAGTCACACAACGCCGGCAAACACTTCTGTTCAGGATCCTTCTGGTTTCCTCCTCGGCCTTTGCCAATGAATACGTGTCAACACAATAGATTACAATTTACGTAATGTAACTCCCTCACTAAACACATCCAACGCGGCCAACTAGTCCTTTACCTTTGGTTCTATCTGTGAAGGCTTGTGCCTCACAAATGACCCCCCACAACCAACCAGTATATGAACTCCTCTTATAGTATTATTAATAATGCTTTTTCATGCCAGAAATGTACCCTACTTTCAAACATTCAATCAATTTAACTTGTGGCATAAACCCCGCCCCCCCGTCTCTGCTGTGTGTCCCTGTAGGGACGTATACAGCGCTGTCTCAGACGGACGCAGACAGGAAGGTTCAGAGGTCACGAGAGATTTTACTCTTCTCAGCGTGCTGCACGCGGCTCATTGAGTCATTGCACAACTCATTAGCTTAGTAACTGTTTGTTGATGCAGTTAATCACACACACACACACACACACACACACACACACACGGTTCTGACCACAAGAGGGCGCCAAAGGCCACTGAAAGAGCTTCAGCCAAGATGAAAACTTAAAATTAATGACACAGATGTGAAGAAAGTAGAAAATATGCTTAATCAAAAGTTTAGCAAAGCGTTCAAAGCGTTTGAGGATGTTAATGCTGAAGTTGTAGCTTTATTGGATGAAGATGAAGGTCAAGCAGATCAACATGTATTTGGTAGGATCAGCACCCGTAGGAGAAAACTGGTGGTCTGCAATGTGGAAAAAAGTAGGAAAGCAAAAACCGCGCCGCTGGAAATAATTTAGCAAATGAAGGCGAACAGTGTGACGTTAATGCTGAGGAGAAAGAAAGACGTCGCAGAACGAGTAACCGTGTGCTGTCTGCATTAAAGGAAAACAACACTTTGAATTCGAAAAATTGCAGAAAAAGGGTAAATGGGAACACCTAACATTGGATACTATTGCGGAATCCAGTGCAAAGCTCAAGGTGCTTGAAGAGCACGACAAGGCTAAAAGGAAAGCGGTTTCTCCTCGACATCAGCGCTAAACCTCACCCCCACGCGACTGCTAACCACATCTCAGTGGTGGAAATAGAAGAATTGCAAGTGAAGCAGAAAGAAGCTGTGAAGAGAAGAAGAGGCACCTTGTTACCAGCTCAGCAAAGATGGTGGATGAACACGACGCTGAGAAATGAAACATCAGAGTGAAAATGATCGTTGCAGCAGGTCGACACTCTGAAGAGAAAACTGAAGATTACAAGGCCTTCGTGAAAGGGATTATTGAGTCGGGACCAGGTTCAGTGTAGTCCTGATGCTCTGTGTGAACCGGGTTCAGTGTAGTCCTGATGCTCTGTGTGAACCGGGTCCAGTGTAGTCCTGATGCTCTGTGTGAACCGGGTTCAGTGTAGTCCTGATGCTCTGTGTGAACCGGGTCCAGTGTAGTCCTGATGGTCTATGTGAACCGGGTTCAGTGTAGTCCTGATGCTCTGTGTGAACCGGGTTCAGTGTAGTCCTGATGCTCTGTGTGAACCGGGTCCAGTGTAGTCCTGATGGTCTATGTGAACCGGGTTCAGTGTAGTCCTGATGCTCTGTGTGAACCGGGTTCAGTGTAGTCCTGATGCTCTGTGTGAACCGGGTCCAGTGTAGTCCTGATGGTCTATGTGAACCGGGTTCAGTGTAGTCCTGATGCTCTGTGTGAACCGGGTCCAGTGTAGTCCTGATGGTCTATGTGAACCGGGTTCAGTGTAGTCCTGATCCTCTGTGTGAACCGGGTTCAGTGTAGTCCTGATCCTCTGTGTGAACCGGGTCCAGTGTAGTCCTGATGGTCTATGTGAACCGGGTTCAGTGTAGTCCTGATGCTCTGTGTGAACCGGGTTCAGTGTAGTCCTGATGGTCTATGTGAACCGGGTTTAGTGAAAAAAATGAAAATGAATTCAGACTGAACAATAAAAGCAGTTTGCAGTCAGAGCTCATGAATTACTTTCAGGCAGCAGCTCGATTCAGTTCTACGTCAGGTTCCCACCAGCTGGATGGTGAGTACACACACACACACACACACACACACACACACAGGAATTTGAGGCTGGCATCCTGACCTGCCCAGACTCCCTGTGTGGACCAACTCCAGCTCTGACTGATGACTGTGATTATCTGTTCAGCTGCATCACTGTGTGTAAGTGTGTGTGTGTGCGTCCGTATGTATGTGTGCGTGCGTTGTTTTGGGAACTCACTCCCAGATTGCTTTCAGAGTTCGAGGGTTTGGCCGACGTACAGCAGCCCACACTGTCCATCTGCTGGACGATACCGTCCCCACACACAGTGTGTGTGTGTGTGTATACACATGTACATACACATACATACATGCGTGTGCCTTGAATCCGCAGGCAGGCACTAAAGTCTTTATTAAGTGAAGAATAAGCTTGATGTTTGGTTCTTTCCACCAGGGGGCGACTCCTCTGGTCCCATAGAAGTCTACTACCAACATGGATGCGTCTGTTCATCCAAGATGGAAACCACAAACCAACGAGTAACGGACCGGACTCCGTCACCCGGACTCCGTCACCCGGACTCCGTCACCCGGACTCCGTCACCCGGACTCCGTCACCTGGACTCCTCCCACTTCTCATGAACGATCAACTAAATTGATGTTGATGTTGTAACACAATTCCATTGCGATCCATGGAGGAAACAATAGACGTTACACTGCTGAAGCTCTGCAAGAAGAACAAAGAATCCCGTGGAGCACTTTGTCTCCATCACTTAACCCACTTTGATTCAGGATCTCACCAAATAAACATCACTGCTCAACATCTGACTCATTTCTGTGGTGTTAATTGGCCGTAGTTCTCCATCAAAGGGCTTTTCATTTTTGCAGTTTCTCCCCTTTGACTAGATTACCATTATGTTGGCTGAGGACAAAAGACATATTTTACATCAAGAGCTCAGGTGAAGAGATGTGTCCATTCACCTCTGACCCCCGTTCTCTTCTTCTGTGGAGATAAAGGACTACAAACTACCAAACAGGTGGAACGACTCCGAGAGCTGCAAGAAGAAGAATAAAGGGCAAAACTCCAGCACACTGCTGCCACCTGGTGGCAGGAAGGACCTTCACACGACCTGACACGGTACAGGGTTTATTGTATATTAAATCAGAAAAGAGAAGCACTATAAACATACATTATACAAGAACATTTGTATATCTATATCAAATGACATTACACCAAAAAAAAAAAAAAAGTGCACAAAAAATCTCTTTAAATAACAGAACTGTACATTCTTTAATATGCAACTAAAATAGTAACAAAATAAAAGAGAGAGCAGGAGAGAGACGGACGGGCGGCTAGAAGCGAGTTAGAGATTCCACTTTATGATGCAGCTCACTGCGGGAATATGAAAAGTCACAAAATAATAAAGTAAGGCAGCAGAAGGCGAACGTTTACAGCAGGAAACAGAGAAAAGGGGAAATTAAACTGCAGTGTCTTTAAGAGCTAACCAGAGGGAAACAAAGCAAAACAGGTGAGACTGAATATAAACTTCATTTCATAGTCACGTATAAGTGCGTCCACACAGTGCAGCTTCAGCACTTTCGGGCCCAGAACAAAAAAGAAAAACAACAAGTGCCACCGTTGTTTGCAGGCAGTTTACAAAAAAGAAAAGAAAAAACAAGTTTCTTTAAAAAAAAAAAAAAAAGGTTTCGGTATAAACTTGCTCTTGTTGACTCTTCTTCCACCGTGGACACTGGACACGTGTAATATTGTGATTTAGGGCTAATTTGACTCCTCCCACATTGCGCAAATAAAAATTGCATGACCTGTTCAACAGGTTGCGCTTGATTAAAGAGTTGCATAGCTTTAAAAAAAAACATATTTAGAAAGTAACTGACTCAGTAGAAAGGGACACTAGAGGGCGCTCACCGCCACGTGTGGCTGAGTACTTACATAACCACTCATAGCGCTTTGCAAAAACACGTCAACGTCATAGGATCACGAGAGCCTACAAAACATACATTTCCTAACATCCAAACTAAACACTCGCTGCTGGTGTTTCTAACATGTGAGCAGTGACGAAACGTTCACTCACTTTCCTCAGTGATGGATTCTCTCGACTTCTTTGGGTTAGCAGGTAGAAAACAACATACATGTCGTTGAACCGATTAGTGCAAAAGAGGTTAAGTGCAATGTTACATGACGTCCAGTGTCCACATGTTCACAGCCGGGAAGGAGGGGAGGGGGGGGGGGGCGAACCCACAGAAACAGAGCGTGCCCTTATTCACAACACAAGTACAATAAAAGCGCCATTACAAGCCGGTACAAAATGTAAAATAAAAAGATCAGCAATGACTGTACACATAAAAAAAAGAAAAGAAGTTAGACTTTTTGTTTTCGATGGATTTGAGGCGGTCGCAGTGCCGTCAAAATTCTGCCAGTGGACCGAGGAGACGGAGAGTATCCAACCAAATCAAGGAAAAATATATCATTTATTTAAAATATCTTCGAATTTAATCTCTTTTAGAAATTCAAAAATCTATATCCTTAAGTAATATTTACTTATTAAAATATCATCTTGTAAACAGTTTGCCCTTTTTGTCTCGCGTTTGAAAACACATTCTAATCTGACTGAAATTGAGGGTTTTACATATATTTATTTATATATAGATCTATGTATATAATATATTGTATATATGCACACACATGTACATAAACATCTAAAAAAGAATCTGATACCATATGTAAAGAAATATATTTGAAACAAAAGCGGTCATCTCTTCAGTCTTCATTTCTACCACGATTGTTCAAGCGCCTGAAGTAACCACGTTGGAACAGCTGGCTTTCACTTGACACATGTTGCTGTTCCTGGGCCGCCAGATGTTTTACCACCAACACAACCCTTAAGCAGCCAGATGTTTTACCACCAACAAACGTAACTGCTCCTGGGCTGCCAGATGTTTAGCCACCGACACATGTCACTGCTCCTGGGCTGCCAGATGTTTAGCCACCGACACATGTCACTGCTCCTGGGCTGCCAGATGTTTAGCCACCGACACATGTCACTGCTCCTGGGCTGCCAGATGTTTAGCCACCGACACATGTCACTGCTCCTGGGCTGCCAGATGTTTAGGCACCGACACATGTCTGTGTTGTCAGTAAAGTTAGTGTCTGTGTTGGTTTTTCTGCTGCTCTTCAGCAGTGCACCGCGGGTTGCTACGGTGTGTAACCATGGCAATTAGGTTACCATGGCTTCAGGGGGCTGTGAGCTGGTGAGGGAGAGAGAGAAGTGGGATTTAGTCTCACATGTTGGTCCGAGTCTTCTTCGTTAGTGGAGGGGGGGGCGGGTTATAACTCAAACTGCATCGATCGGCCGCGTTTCAAACAAGGTCTTGAGCATCACGACAGGACCTCTGCGTGTAAATAGCGTTTGTTCATGTGTGCGTGTCGGTGCACACGGCGTCTTTTCACATTTAAATGAGTCTTAGTGCCCCGGCATGCGCATCGAGATGGGAACGCTCGCTCCCCTCCGCGCTCTAGAGTCGGTCGCTGCGGAAGGAGTCCTCCACCGACGGGTCGGGCAGCACCATGTCGGGGTCGCTGAGCATGCTCAGACCGTCCAGGCTGAGGGGCTCGATGCGCAGCTCGTCCTCCAGCGGGAAGCAGCCCTCCGAGTCAAAGCACTCTGGCACCGTGGAGAGGGCGCTGCTGATGTCCTTCGACAGGTTGGGATTGGAGTCATCTGAGAGGGAGAGAAGGGAGGTGGGGGAGGGGGAGGGAGATGATGGTTGGTGGAGGTTTGCTTGTGTTCTGGAGAAACACTTCCGCTCGCTCTCGCTGCCCTCGTCATTAGTCACGACGGCTCCTCTAACAAATACTCTCCATGTGCTCACTTTCCCCTGGAGGAAACATCAACGCAGTCTGGTGGCCTCTCTAACGTGAGCACAACGTTCATCCAGAGCTCATCACCTGTCGACTTTTGACCTTTACGCCAACAGAGACATCAAGTCACCTCATTCTGCATTGGACTTCATGAAAATCTTCAAGACCACCACTTTAAAAAGATTAAAAAAAGCCATCATCTTTCCCAGGGAGCCGCTGTCTGAAGCCCCGCCCCTTGAATCCTCACCAGTGAGTATGATGTTGGGCAGTCCTCCGCTGCAGTTGGGGTACAGCATGTTGGACCTCATGTGCATCGGGTCCTGCAGGCTGCCGCCCGAGAGGGCGGCCTGGGAGTAGTACAGCAGAGGGGCGGAGGAAGGGTCGAAGAAGGAGCCCCCCGCCGTGGAGCTCATCGCGTTTTCCAACAGGGCGAACTGGTCCAACTAGACGGGAAGACGGCGAGGAGGGAAAAGAAATGGCAAACGAAAGACGATAATCAGTCCCGCCTTCTTCTGCTGTGTGTTCTGACAGGAAGTTTATTACAACTGGAGCATGAACTGATTCCAGGGAAAAATCCATTCAACTGCTGAAATGCTGCTGCACCTCAAATCACAGCTTTCACTATTTTTCTATCATTTAACTTTAAAATATTGGAGACTAATTTCGGCATGAACATTTCCTCATCGAATCGATCTGATTTGTGAAATATTTTCCCCGTTTTTATATCCACATCATGTTTTGGCACAAGTGTTGTGATGCCGTATTTAAGCTGCATTCTCTCCCCTGACCAGCAGGGGGACTCTTCTGGTCCCATAAAGGATCAGAAAATGACTACTTCTCTCAATTTATTCCCTCAGTAAACGTGAGTTTATGGTCTCCGCCTCTAGTTTCAAGTCTTCTTCAATGTAGCATGATGTTCATTTAGAAAATTATGGCCCATGTAATATGTATAATATATAACGTCCATGTAAAAAGCTTTAGGGCGGGGCTACTGTGATTGACAGGTTGCTGCTAAAGACGTATACGTAGGGCCGTCACAATATCACATTTTTGTTTGATTATTGCAACAACATTTATTGCGATATTATTGCATCATTTCAGACCATTTGATGCCACTGATAAACACAAGGACAATAGCGTAGTAATACAAGCTCATTCCATTCATCACAATAGAAAAAATATATTCTAAACGCAGGGCGGCGGTCCGGCGACGTAAAGACCGGGCGGATGGTGGTCGTTGTTTGAGATGAGATTTTAGTTTAGTTCGACACACCGGCTTGTGCTTGATTGGCTCTCCTCCCTCATTCGGCTTAAAGCCAAAATGTTCCCAAACTGAAGCCAAACATTGAGCCTTTGAAATCACGTCCATTGGGACTTGTTTATCTCACTGGGTTGGGCTGTAGATGTTTTTATAGCACGGTGCCCGTCGGTGTGTCTGTGCACGCTGCCTAAGCCCCGCCCCCGCGTCCCACAAGGGAAAAGGACAGAGGCAGCGCGGTCAACTTAAATGAATATCGCAGCACCAAAAATGATTGCACTCGATTTCAGATGGTGTGCGATAAGTCAATTTATTGCATATTGCCACAGGCCTGCATACACGGTGTCACTACGTAACTGCTTCGCATTCAAAAAAGGGTCCTTGAAAAGAGGACATGATGAGGACGGATAAATCTCAGAACATCAGTCCACAAACCAGTTGGTAACATTACGATGACGATGTGAACCTCTTACAAACGCCCATAACTGGCAGCTTCTTTAGTGGTAATAAGAAAACACTAACAGGTCGACAAGGTCTTTTCCTTGTTGCCATTAACAACGGAACACCACTGGTTGAATAGTCTCCATGGAGGTAGGTGTGTGTGTGTGTGTGTGTGTCTACCTGATAGGGGTGAGTCTTGGTCTGGCGATTGGAAAACTGTTGCTCCATGAAGGGGTCGTTGAAGAGTGCCGCCATGTTGTTGATTCTGTCAGGAGAACAACGTGGGTGTTTGATGTAAATACATAACCGAGACTTTAGACCATCACATTACACATTAGTCACTTCAGCCAACCATTCTGCAAAAAAGGAAAACAGATTTATTGTTTGGTGATCAGAATCTTGTTCTCTGGTTCTAGATGAATGTCTTTGGGGTTTGGACAAAACGAGGGATTCTGGGAAAATATTGAGAAATCACACACAAGATTCATTCCCAGAACACTTAATAGCCATTGTTTAAGTGCTTAACCTTTAATTTTAAAACATTTTCATAAATCCTTCTCTTTCCAGATTAAATATTTAGTGAATGTGAGCCTCAACCTACGGGACACAAATTATGTGTTGCACATGTAAGCAGAATACATTAAATAGAAGCCCAGGTGCAAACACAGAAATAAAAACCGAACAAAAAGACATGACTGAGTGTGTGTGTGTGTGTGGGGGGGGTTCATCCTGTGCCTCCCCCCACCGTTCTGTCAATCACCAGCCACTGATGTGGTTTAATAAAATTACAATGTTGGATCCAATTTCCTGCATTCATTTCTGCTCCGCAGGGAACTAAAGCGAAGAGCGAACAGTACACCGCAAAAACTGCTGCACAAAATATGATTTAGTGTGTGAGACAAAGACGCTCTTCATGGGACTTACTTGACTCGCGTTGAAGTCCAGAGGGGAAAGAGGCTGCTGCTGATGCTGTTGTTGCTGATGCTGTTGCTGATGCTGATGCTGCTGCTGGTGTTGTTGTTGTTGCTGCTGGTGCTGTTGTTGTTGCTGGTGGTGTTGTTGTTGTTGCTGTTGCTGGTGGTGTTGTTGTTGCTGGTGGTGTTGTTGTTGCTGGTGCTGTTGCTGGTGCCGGCCCTGGTCCACTGCATGCTGGGCTTGCTGGTAGAGCGGATAGGGTGGGGGCGGCTCCCTTGGCATGTTGCTGGTATCCAAAGCAACTCCCTACACAGGACAGGGAAAGCCAGCAGGAGTCACTGGAGACTCAGTGAAGAGTTCTCGCCCCGTCGAAGCACAAGAGAAAGACAAATGCTCCCGTGTGTTTTGGATTTCTTTAAACAGCGAGACCATTTACTTTAGACCAACATGTCCAATCGAAACAAAAAGTTCTCATTCTGCACCAACAAGGTTACAAAATAAAACAACAAAAGTCAAACCAGAGTCCCGTTTTCCTCCTCAAGAACAACACCGGAGCTGTAACTCTCCGCGGGGTGGGAGGGGGAGTTGTGAACAGAAGATCACGTCGCGGTTCTTCGGGGGGGGACGCCAAGGCGGGCCTACCTGCGTGATGGGGGACAGCGCGGGGGACATGGTGGGGGACATCTGCTTGGACAGAGCCCTGCGCTGCTCGGTGCCAGGAGACAGGGTGAGCGGGCTGATGGGAGCCGGCCGCCGCCGGGGGGAGTTGCTGGACAGACGCAGGGACGAGTTGATGGACGGGTTGCTGAGCGACGACTGCAGCTGGCAGTTGTTGAGGGACGCCTGAATGGAGGGATTGCTCAGAGACGAGGACAGACCTGCAAAGAAAAAAAAAGACTGAAGCAAAACACTGTATTGTGAGAGCAGGGAGGGAGAGAACGAGGACACGGGAAAGAGAACGAGAGGAGGGGGGGGGATTCGAAGGGAAAAGAAGAGAGACGATTGTAGCAGGACCGAGGTCAAAGAGCTCCGCTGCTCGGCCGAGATGAACAGAGAGGAACAGAGAGGGAGCGACAGAGGGGTCATTCAAAGACAGATCCAGAATGTGAGGAGGCCGGGAACCTCCCAAAGCGCCGATCCTCCTATAAGGAGCACACGAGCCTGTCAATATGCCACAAGTGAATTGATCTGAAATCGAGTGCAATCATTTTTGGTGCTGTGACATTTTACATAAAAATGAATGTCACACGTCAACATTGAAGTTGCTGGCGCCCCCGGGCCGCCGCCCTGCGTTGCTCCCGGGCCGGCCGATTGTTGGCGGGGCCGAGGCGCTCCGTCTCTCCCTGCAGCGCCGCGCTTTTCCACTGGACATATTTTCTCAAACCTGACCGTATCGCACCCGATGCTTCGCCCGATGCTTCGCCCGATGCTTCGCCCGATGCTTCGCCCGATGCTTCGCCCGATGCTTCGCCTGATGCTTCGCCCGCTCTGTGTCGCTTGCACTTATTTCTTTTGTTTTATTTAAGATATATTTTTTCACACTGATTCTGTCCAACTATTGTTGTTGTATGTTGTTGTATGTTTTTTCTTTGAAAGAGTATACTTGTATTACTATGCTATTATATTGTCATTATGTTATCAGAGGCATAAAATGGTCTGAAAATTGCAATAATATCGCAATAAATGTTGGTGCAATAATCGCACAACAAAAATGTTGACATCGTGACGGCCCTACAAATAACACGCTGAGAGTCAACGTGGACCCGGGTCACAGCTGCGTTGCTAGCCGACAAATTCCCGTAAGTGACATTGCGGACATTCCTCGCATTCTTTTCCCTCAGTACGTCACGGAAGAAGCACGGAGGAAGAAGATGCCAGATGTGCACAGAACTGTTGTGTATCTCAGTACACACACACACACACACACACACACACACACCCTGTGACTGGCCGATGCCGAGGTGCATCATGGCGGCCGGCAGGTTCCCGGTGCTGCTGCCCCCGCTCAGGTGGGAGAAGCCCCCGTTGTCCTCCGGGTCCAGCGGCGTGGAGAGCGGCGAGGCGAAGTGCAGGTTGGTGAGGTCGGGCAGGGAGCCGCTGGTGTTCAGCAGGCCCTGGTAGTGGGACAGGCCCGGGTTCTGCTCCGGGGACGGGAATATACTACGGGAGGGGGGGGGGGGGGCCTCAAGAACAAAGCAGGGTGTCCACCTTTCAATTCATGTCCATATTCAAACCCCATGATCAAAAGCGGCTTCTAAAAACCCCCCCCCCCCACACACCTACACACACACCCACACACACACACCCCCACTTTATGAGTGTGTCAAAAAAACAGAGAGAAGCCCGTTGGGCTTCAGGGCCTGAAAAGACGCCCGGGGGAGCTTTCAGAAGGAAACAAAACCCCTCGGAATAGCGGTGGTGATCCCCGTGTAAAAAGTGTGGAGGAGGAACTCCCAGACGTTGAGGAGGCGGGATTCCTTTTCTGGTGGTGAAGATTTTGGAACGAAAATTTAAAAAAAAAAAAAGTTTTTTTTGTGATGAAGCAACAAAAAGAAAAACAAATACACTTTCAGACTCACTTGATTCCAGGCACTTCACACGATTTAGGCCTGGATGCCAGAGACTGGACCTAAAACACAAAAATACAGTTTATAAATAAACCTATTATTTAATAATGAATATATATTATTGTTTCCAGATTGATAGCAAACAGTACATTTCTGTTCAGCTTCCAGGCAGAAACATGTATACGTGTGCGAGCGGTATACCGGCACTAGAATTTAAACAAAAAGGTCCAATAAGCTGTTTTACTGGGGGACAGCCGGTCATATACCAGCGTTTAACCAATATGCATCACTCCTCTGTGAGCAGGGACCAGGTTCCTCAAAGGCCCAGAAACAAGGCCTGCATTGACTATGAGCCTCCGCGTGTTGGTAACACCAACGAGACCTGCCAGGTTGGGCAGACGTTCCCGCTGTGGACGAAGGCGGACGGCTGCTCAACAAACACGAGAGAGAATTTGCATTCCGCTCGGCGGCCAAATGTTGTGCTACACTGCGACGGTTCAGAGTTGTCGCGCTGAAAAGACGTTCAGTCGTTTTCACTGTTACCATGGCAACAGAGCAGCCGACACGCAGAGGACACTCCGCGCACCACAGGGACATTGTTCTCACCTTCTTGGCCTCCCACAGCTGCTTGGGCAGCGGCTTACTGACCCCGATCAGACCCTCCTCGTTGGTCAGGGCGGGGAAGGAGAACACTGCGGCGAGGAGAGGAAGGCCAGTTAAGACACGCGTGTTGCCGTCAAATGATGAATGACATTAAACCAGCGCTCGACTTCAGGAACGCGCTACCCACCGCTTCCAGAGCCGTCGGCCTCCGCCTCGGTTACGCTGGCTGCATTCCAGCCTCCACGAGAAGGAAAACAGATTCATGCCATTAATTGGGAGGGAAAAAAGCAAAAACAAGGAAAACAAACTTGGAGGATCAACGCAGCGGTTTGAATGATCCCAACGCGTCGGGCTCAACAATCGCTCGCTTTGACACGCTTCATTTCCTGCAGGGTCACAGACTGATGGGGAGCAAAGAGACGGCCATTGTGTTTATTGTTCACGGAGCCCCCCCCCCCCCCCCCCCCGAGCACCCGATGCCAGTGCAGTATGGGACCCCTTAGGGACGGGTTTTTCTGACGTCTCTCGATGTCCTCTTCTAGTGTGCCTCATGGCTTTCACATTAGCGTTTGAACCGGCAGCCGTTGCTTTTACACACCGGGGGCGAACAAGGTTTTTCAACCGGTTTTTGTCATGAATTATTCCACATAGAAAACTTTTTGGAGCTTTCACGCCGCAGATGAAGCCGACCAATCGGGGAGCGTAAAGACTACATTCACATTTAGGCACATTTAAAGTACTCAAGACAAAGGTATCCTGTACTGGCTCAAACGTAAGTACTTGATAGTGGTAAACCAGAGGTCAAATAGCGGTAAACCAGAGGTCAAATAGCGGTAAACCAGAGGTCAAATAGCGGTAAACCAGAGGTCAAATAGCGGTAAACCAGAGGTCAAATAGCGGTAAACCAGAGGTCAAATAGCGGTAAACCAGAGGTCAAATAGTGGTAAACCAGAGGTCTAATAGTTTAGCGATAGTAGCAAGAACTAAAACAAGAAATACACAAACTGCTCTCTTTGAAGGCGAGTAGCACGTGGTTGAGAGCGTGTGTGTGTGTGTGTGTGTGTGTTACTCTCACCGTTGCGCTGCAGAGGACCTCGACCCATCTGCTGGTTCATGCCAAAAGGGTCCTGGGGGTTTGGGTTCATGGCGCTCGTGTGGAGAGCCGAGTCGGAGTTGGTTCTGTGTGGGACGAAGGAGGAGGAAGACGATGAGAAGTGTTCCAGCACCTTGGATTCCTCGGGGCCGTGACGTGAGTCATCCTGCTCGCCGCTCCGCCTCCACACACACACACACACACACACACACACAATCTGCGCTGATCGCACCGACTTCACTCACAAAAACGCCCTCACAGAACTGGACTGGGAGACGTTCGAGGGGGATGGAATAACAATGCAAACGTTCATTATCCATAAAGGAACAAATACAGGTAAATGGCAGCTACAACAGATGAGTTGTCCTCCTGGTCACACAGTTCTAATATGAGCTGTGAGGTCAGAGGTCAAGTTCACACCCACACAGTTGTGTATGTCTCCAGCTGCGAGCCTTCTCTTCTCGTGCGACTCCATGTGCGACTCCATGTGTGACTCCCTACTTTCTCATGTAGCATAAAAAACGCTACGCTTGATTCCTCCGCAATGTGATGCTTTGGGATGATGGCGCTCGAATAGGGGCGTCGTGATCAGAGTGTAAAGGGCCAGTGTCAAGCAGTCAGTGTGATCTACGGTCAGAAAATGTCTTGGTGGTGGTCAGCTCAAAGTGGAATCTCTTTGAATTCAGAAAATCTTAGAAAATGTGAAAAAGGAGGCTTGATGTTAGAGGATGAAGGAGCCGTGAGTCCTAAAGCCGGATTAGCAAAGAGAGGAACTATTAGTTAGAAAGAAAAAAACAAAAGACAAATCAACCGTGAAAAGCCTTGAGATGAGATTTGTGTCTTCTGCGTGCTTGGGAGGAAGAAAAGGGGATTACTGAGATCAGATCGCAGATCAGACGGAGATTTACAGAAGGATTGGGACCAGGACGCAGTGAAGACAACAGACATTGCAAAAAAGACAAGGAGCAGAACCGTCGCCTCTGAGAGCGAGGAGCGAAGCGGCAAAGCCACACGGAAAAGCAGCAAGAGAGTGGAGGGGTCAAGGGTCACCTGTTGAGTTGTGATATTAATCTCAACCCAGGCCGTTTGTCCTCGGTCCATGGCTGCTGTTCCCTTCAGAGAGAGAGAGAGAGAGAGAGAGAGACACAGGACGGACATTTACTGGATGGGAGGAGAACCCCCGCCTTCTGCCTCCGGCCTTTAAGCGTTTGTGTGAAGAAGAGAAGACACATTAAGAACGACGAGCCTTGTGTAGAAGGAAGAAAGACCCTGAGAAATACAACCAAACACCGTCCAACACTTGAGGGGGGAAATGTGAAGACACAAATGATGAGCTAATCGGGATGGGGGGGTGGGGGGGCGACTGCTGAACAAATGGCTTCCCGCAGAGAGGAACCACGTAGAACCCTCGATGTGGAGGGTCATCGTCCTCAAACCTTGACTGAGTGGATTCTTCTGCAGCACTCGACGAGTCCTCGGGCAGAAAGCACTAACCAGTACAAACAGTGTTCTGAAAGCCCACAAAAAGGTCCACAAAAGAACCAGAGTGAAGCTCTGGGTCGCCTCCGTGGCCCCCGGCTCCCTGAGGAGGGCGAGAGAGTCTGCAGCGAGGCGCTCTTCTCCGGTGTGACCTCATCAGAAGCTCCTCTCGCATTCTGCCAGACAGATTTGGTGCCAACCACGTCAGTGTCAAGGAGGGTGGAGGCCCCCCACCCGATGGTCTGGTGCGTGAGGCATAAAGGCTGGGTCAGGTTGTCAAGTCCCCCCTTAAGCCTCCACAATGAGGGAAAGGACCTCCTCCTTTAGCTGGAGCAAAAGACCGTTAAAGCCTCGGTGGGACTTGACCGATACGGAGAATTAGAATTCAGTTCAGATTGGCTGAATCGTTTGGAATCTGGTTAATGTGTGTGTGTCTCTCTCTCCCTCTCTCCCTCCCTCCCTCTTTAATGTATGTATCTCTCTCTCTCTCCTGTGACCGTACACAGGCGATGATCAAAACGCACACACGAGAGGCAGATCGAGTCTCGAGAGAGAGCTCGCTCTGAGAAAAGTCCTCCCGAGAGGCTGGTACGGGAATAGCAGCCCAAAGAAGGGCGAGCGGACGAGGAGGAGGAGGAGGAGGAGGAGGAAGAAGGGCGTGAGACTGGGCCGAGGCTCTGACCCTGAAGCAGATGGTCTACGATGTCGAGCCGTCCAGAACCAACACACAAGTCAGGAGACTCGACCAGACCTGATACCCAACTTTCATAAAGGCCGACTAATCCTTTGTTTAACATCTCTATCTGCTCATGTTTACATTGCTCCTGCTGTCGACTCCAATATCAACAGGTTACTCTTTTTGTTTACCTGAGGAGTAACCAAACCCAAACGCATTCATTTGATCTTAATCATCGAGTGGTTTCCATTGGATCCGTTTGAAATGACTCAAACATACTTCTTATTTCATCTTATTCCAAATGCCTGCTTCACCTGGACAAGGTGGGCATGCGGAGAGGTCAGATGCTAATAGATCAGCGAGGGTGGGTTTGTAATTAAATGATGGGAAATGCTGAGTCCGGAGGGACGAAGGACTCTGCGGTTTGAGGCTGCGTGAATCCCGGCTCTGCTTCCGCTCTGAACAGGATCACTATTGACTATATTTATCTACTTACGGGACCAATCAGCACCTTTCTATGTGGGAGCCCAGCCAGCGCTGACGGTCAACAGAAGCATTACACTTTCTAGGATGGACAAGTGGATTTATTAGATCATGCTTTCATATCCAGTGTCTGCCATAAGTCATATAATAAAGAGTTAAAATCTGTAAACTAACTACGTTTCGGGAAACATTTGCGAGTGTGACCGTGAAAAGGACGATGAAACGCAGAGAGGAGGCGCAATGCATGCTGGTACAAAAAGGCCCTGTTGGCACAGTCAATAAGACCACCGAGGAATTTATTGCTGCTATTGACTACATTTGCCATTAAGGCAAAGCAGGTCACCCGCCTTTGTGTCGACGCAGCGACCAGGAAAATAAACCTTTGCTCTTCTAAAAAAGGAGCGTAACAAAAGAGCTTTCTTCAATGGGATTTCCCAGCAGGCACCTCCCCGGACTGCTGTGACTTCCCATTTACCTCCCAACAACTTGTTATGTCTTCATTGGAGCTTCAAGTCCGTCAGTCAGAGAAAAAACACAACATAGATTGTGCAAACACACATTTTACAAGTTACGTTGCTCCCTGAGACTAAAACACGATTATGTGTTTAATCTTATGGTCAGATTGGTGGTCATTTCGGGTTTGCTGCACTAAAGGGGAAACTGGTGTAACGAGCCTAAAATCCAGTGTGGGGGGGGGCAGCAGTTGAATCACAAACAGGCGCTGAGACCATGTGTGGGCATGAGCGGAGAATCAGTTTGTCACAACCTGCCAGAGGGAATAAAACCAGAAGCAGGCTGCAGGGACACGACTCGCCTGCAGAACGCAGACGATGGGTCCTGCTCGCCGCCACCTTATCTAATGCAAATAAAGATGTGTTTTAACATCTCCAGAGAAACGCTCCCCGTCCCTCCGTCCGTCTCCGGCAGGACCTTTGAGTCGGCCGAGCCGTGATTTTATGTGTATGTGCTGTCAACAACGACGAGAGGGCGCGGAGGGCTTCTCTTCTGCAGCACAAGGGCCGTAAAGAGAGAAAATAACAGAGGGGGGGGGGCTTCTTTTTTTAATCATCCCAGGGGCTTAATTCACTTTCTTGTAAACACTGAGGAGAAACTGTCTGCCACAACCAGAGAGCTCACATCGAGGTCCTCCAGCGACTGACCCGGGGGGAGGAGGGGCGGCTGTGAACATAGAACAGGTGGGGGGGGGGGGGTGCTGCTGCTGCTGTTGGGGCCTCGACCTTTAAAGCCAAAAAGGTCAACATGTCACAACACCTTTAGGGAGACGCCGCCTTCACGGCAACTAAACACCTGAAACATTCTCTCCCTGGTGTCTGATGGGGGGGGATCAAGTTTCAAAGAGAAGCACAATGATCACATTGTCAACACAAACACAAACACACACTACTCACCTTCTCCAGTTGTTGTCCAGAGGTGGGGACAGGTACACCGCTCCGTACGGGGAGCTTTCTATGTGGGCTTCAGTTAAGGGAATTATTGGCACAGGCAGAAAAAACATCAGCGTGCTATTAAGGTTCCTCTTTGTGATCCTTCCAACCTCTCACTTGGTTTGTCAGCCATCACGTTTTGTAAAACAGGTTACATTACATGTATGTATTTTCCAACGTCATCAGAGACTTGATGGAGAAGAACAATGCTGGTTCTTATTTATAGCTCGCCGCATCACAGCGCGTTTCACACGTCAAAGCAAAGGCGCCCCGCGTGGCCTGACCGCCGCGCAGCGGGCCGAACAAATGCCAGCCGTTCTTTTCAAAATATTTAATGAACAATGAGAGCCACTGTGTGATTCACTGCTGAATGCGGGGAGCACAGCTCCTGCCTTTGTCTGTGGGGGGGGGGGGGGCGGGACTTCAGAAAAGGTGGCGCTCCGTCACCATCGCTCAGCGCTTAAGGCGGACGCCGGGTGCCACACAAGGACGACTTCTGTTTGGGCCTCAAAGTAATCGTTATCAGCAGAGAGCGAGCAGACTGGAGCCGCCATTAACACGCGCGCACGGGGGAGAGGTCAGCGTGGTGGAACGGAAACCATCCTGTCAGACCAGTTATTAGCCTGCTCCGTGAAGCCATAATAGGGGGGTACTAAACACTAAACTCACACGCAGCTGTGGGCGTGTGTGAGTAAAAACGACACGTGAGAGAAGTGGGATGTCGCCCTCTTTCTCGCCCCTTTATACTTTAGACTGGTGCTACTTCTGTGGCCATGGGAGAGATTTCATCAAACGAAGTGTGTGTCCAGTTTGTCTGTCCCATCTGACAAAGCGGACACGGGTCCGATTCCGTGCGTCCGACCACAAAGGTCTGTTTTCAAAGACAAGTGGAGCTGTGAAGTTTCAGCCATTTCTTATTGTTAATTTCAGTTGAACCCTTTTCCTCATTACGCATCACATTTTGTTTCCATACAAACTACAGCGGTCACAGGGATCAGGAGCCGACCGGTTAAAGCTCAACAACGTTAAAACAAGGGCTTCTTTTCGCTCACTTTTGACTCCATGAGCGTCTCCAGAGCGCTTCGTCTGTGGAATTTCAAGGTTTTGTGTTGTAAATGTTGTCATTTACAACAGAGTTGCTGCATTTTCACGAGGCGTTAACGTGAAGCTCTAGTTCCAAACACAGGTGGAACTGTCCCGATACCCCCCCCCCCCGTACATGCTGGGAGCTCCGACATGTTTTGGCATCAACAACACTGTACATTTCAGAGTGTTCCATGTAAAAACACAACAAACAGGAACATCCAAGACGAACCGGAGCTCGCTTGGACCAAATGAACTCAGGCGATCCACCTGGAAGCCTTTGAGACGTCCAAGTGCGCTTTTACTGCTCCGACCTCAGGCAACTGAAACCGCCAAACCCGCCAGTCGACGTGTTCTCTAACACACATGAACAGAAACACGCGTGACCCCCCCCCCCCCCACCACCCCCTACGTGGAAACAGGCAGCCAACGGCGGCCGCTGCGCCTCACATCCGTGACATCACACGCTGGGAGGCAGGACAGCGTAGTGACAGGTCAGTGAATCATCTCCGCCTCCCGGCAGCGAACACACACTCGCCTATTACAATCCTACTAGGTGTGTGTGTGCGTTACTCAAAGATGTCTGTTAATCCTCCTAAATGAAATGTGAATCTGAATGCATGTGAAGGCTGACAACATTCATGGGGACCAGATGTTCAAAGGCCCAATCATACAAACCACTCGCTGTGATTGGAAACAAAAAGCAGATTTTTCTGCTCTTACTCACTCAGAGATGCGCAAATGGGTTTAAAAAGCCTGGAGAACAAACACTCACGCACATGTTCCTCACGCTGCGTGTCATCGCATTTACAGCCATCATAAACCTCAGCAGCTTTCCCACGAAAACACAACTACTGCTGCCACACTATGCAATACACACACACACACACGCACACACTATGCAATACACACACACGCACGGGGAGAATGTCCGACTGTCAACGTCCATTAGGCGTAAACAAAGCGTGCAGATCTGCGTCACACATCAAATTTTTCATAATGACTAATTCAGTTCCGAGGCCATAAAACCGCTGCCTCCACCGGGGAGCGGCGTCACGCCGGAGGCGAACAAATCAAGACTGAAGAGCGACACCCACGTGAGGCGTCACGCTTGGGGAAGGATATCTGCCGTCCGTGCTTGTCGACGGGTCGGCGGTGGGGGGAGTTGATGCGGTTGCGGTCCCTGGGGACCCTCTCCACCAGCCCGTGGTGGCGGGTCCCTCTGGCTGAGACCAATCCGGACGGAAAGCCGCCCTGCAGAGAAAAAGCGAGAGACACGTGAGACCTGCGGTTCCTCGCAGGTTGCCTGGGAGACGAGGGGCATCGGTCAGATCGAGCCGTTTACGACCCGGCATTAACATAAGCAGCGACTATCGCAGGGGTCACGTCACGGCTGCAATGTTTACGTTGTCGCCTCTTCAAACACAGAGGGACGGACGCTTACCGCTGCAGCCACGGAGGAAATAGCAAACTGCACAAGGCCTGTCACAAAAGCACAAATGGGAATCAAAAAGACTTTGCTCCTCACAAACAGCAGCTTTGAATGACACCAACGTAAAGATCTGACACTCGGCCTCAGGGTCAATGACGCCTTTGAGAGCTTGGCCGGCTACGGAAAGACATTCACGTTGACAAAGCGGGAGTGAGTAGAATTCATCAACAAGTGGCCAAATACCAAGTGTCTGCATGTGTATTTGGTAAGTAGCGTTACACCAGGGAGACGTTACGAGCTGCAGCTCACAACATGATCCGACTCTGACCGTTTATTGTTTTCAAACATGCACTAAGAACGGCCCACAGGATGTCCACACGTGTAATAGCTGGCTGCCGTAGACACCGCCGTTGTTTGGGGTTTAAAGGAACGACCCGTGACCATCAGAAGAGGACGTCGATGTCTAAGAGCTGCATCCTCTGCAGTGACCAGCAGGGGGCGACTCCTCTGCTCCCATAGACGTCTATGAGGAAATGACTCTACTTCTCTGTAGTGACCAGCAGGGGGCGACTCCTCTGCTCCCATAGACGTCTATGAGGAAATGACTCTACTTCTCTGTAGTGACCAGCAGGGGGCGACTCCTCTGCTCCCATAGACGTCTATGAGGAAATGACTACTTCTCTGCAGTGACCAGCAGGGGGCGACTCCTCTGCTCCCATAGACGTCTATGAGGAAATGACTACTTCTGTCTTGATTTATTCCCTCAGTAAACATTGTAAACACGAGTTTATGGTCTCAGTCTCTAGTTTCAAGTCTTCCAATACAGCATGATGTTCATGTAGTAAATGATGGTCCATGTAGGGTCAAACAGACCATAAAGCAGGGGACGCTTTAGGGCGGGCCACTGTGATTGACAGGTCTCTACCAGAAACATTTACAGCGCCTCTACGTCCTTCGTCCTCAGTCCAAATATGGTGACTTTTGTTCATCTGACCACCGCCTGAACAAAACTGCAGCGTGGGAAATTAGAACTCATTTTTGAATTTCTACAGCGCTCTCGCTCCGTGTGGCGATAGTGTGCCGACTCGCACTCACCCACTCAGTTGCTGTAACTGATCCACCTTCAAAAAGGGTCATTCTGCTGAGTAACAAGGGCACTTTGGACTGTATCCCAGCATGCACCGCTCCTCAGAGAGCTGACCCGCGGGTTACATCGCGTACAGGCCTGCACGACTTGAATGGGTTCTGGCAACTTGTGCTCTGATCTCTTATTCCACCTACTATCTCCAGTCTGCAGCAGAGTTATTGAACGCATTCAGCTGATCTGAAGCCGATCAGAAGGTCCAGTGCAGCGCTTTGCTGTTTCTGCATTTAAACCAGACGTTCTCAGAGTTCTCATATTTTGTTTTTTTCAGAATATCAAAAGAGAAGGGGTAAAAAAAAAAGCAAAAATAACCAAGATTTTTATCCAAAAAAAAAAAAAAAAGGGACAGGATGCGGTGCAATTCAGCGGTGAGGTTGCCGATAGCAACCACCTCGTTGGTGCAAGAATCTGCTCACTCAACACTAGTGAGCACACTTTTATGAATATTGTATTACAGAACTAAAACCACTGTGAGAAGATATGCTCTAACAATTTAAAGTTATGCATTGAAAATGTTACTTGATTAAAGGCATACTAGTTAAGTCAGGAAAACACTCAAGTAATAAAGTGAAAAAAGAAACTATCAAGATAATTTCCTTCCGAGACGCGGGGGAGTAGAAAGTGACATGGAAACAAAATACCAGAGTATGCTACAGGAACCTGAAATGTACTTACTGACTAATACTTGAATAAGTGTACTTGTCAGGTATCGCTTTTGTAAGAGCCCCAAGTGTGTTTATTGTTTAATTGGACTTTCTTATATGATGACATTATATTGGATATACATGTTGGCATGACGCCCCCTTTATTTACCTGCTTATATTGGCGTCATGTTTGCAGCAGGTGCACCTTAGAGGAGCTGATTAGGCACGAGAGCAGGTTTTCTACCGTGTGACGGAACGTGCTTTTTGTGTATTTGGTTAAGGCTTTTTGCTGTGGAAATAAACACCAAGCGAAAAGAATTTAAAGATCTCCAGTCATTGGCGTTAAGAAAACGGACTCAGTGTGTCTGCAGCTCAATAATATTCGTGACCGAAGGAACGCGGCTAGTTTTAATATTGCGATGCTTAAATAATCAATGCATAAAAAATGGAGATTAAACCTTGGAACAATAAAACTAGTTATTTTACATGGACCATAAGCGTGTGTGTGTGTGTGTGTGTGAGTTCGGCCCGTGACGAGATCCCACCTGGAATTCGGTGGCGGCGTTGCCGATCTGGTGGACGTTGGGCAGGGAGCCGTAGTACTGCGCGCGGGACTGGGTCAGACGGAGCTGCTGGACCTTCTGAAACTGCACCTGTCGGTCAGAAGAGGAAGGAGACAGATCAGTCTGCGGATCCTGCACATCTGGAGTCTCACTGTGTGTGTGTGGAACGTTAAGCTTTGGGATGGAAGCCCGGATTGATGTGGATTTGGGCTTTTCCTTCCCGTCATCGTCACAATTCATTGAGACTCAGCAACATTTGCGAAGTTTAAGGGGGACGCACAAAGCCGTGACACACCGCAGGAAACGGGCCTCTCGGGGCTCCGGCAGGAGACGCCAGAGAAGATCAGCTGGCAGATAGACAGCAGGCGGGTCGTTGGGCCGAGGGGAGGCGCGCGGAGCTCGTCAGGGGGAAAAGGCAGATCAGAGGGACATTTGTCCTTCGGACCGCCGAGAGGGCAACATGTGAATCTCTTTGATTTAATCAATAGACGCACCGTGAACAGAGCGAGTCCTCTCATGGGACATTTCACAGGTTCGTCAACAACGACACTTTGTTCATCCAAGTGGGGATCCATCTCTCCTGGCAGTTCAGTTGATCTTTTTAAAATCAACGGTTCCGACCGTTCGGACGACAAAAACATTGTGTATATTTGTTTTCTCCATACACTGTTAGGCGTTGGGCCGAGTAGCGAGGTTTTTACTCATTTAGAACAGACCTGGCTGACTTATGAGAGCGCCCCCCCCCCCCTCAAAATACAAAATGTACCAGCAAACCAAATTGTTCCTCTGATACGCTGCCGATGAATGTGGGATTAGGACGTCCCCGCCGCCTAAATACAGACGGACATCAAGTGCCGAAAACACATTTCCTGCCAGCAGCAATCAATCTTCCATCTAGGACAGAAAATAATAATAAATTACATTATATTTAAAAACAAATCCCCATCTTAAGCTCTTGACCAAGTGTCGGCGTTGCATCTTACGCAACCTCGACAATGGAGACAGACATATCGGATGAAGTCCTTTTGTCATTTGAGGAAACATTGGAGGAGCTTCTTCTACCTCCAGCTGTTTGCTGCCCCCCCCCCCCAGCTGTTAGTCTCACTCCGGGTGACCGACGGTTCACACCTCGTGGCAAACTTCCCCCAGTAGAGGCCACATCCTCTTTGACCGGGCGAGCTGCACTCGGCCTCTCGGAGAAGGAGCACATTGTGGGAAACCATCGGCGTGAGGACAACGTGAAAAGGGCCTTTATGCCCCCCCCCCTCCTCCGCACCCCCACCAGCAAGGACCACTTTATTACTCGGAATGTGCCGTGTGTACGCTTGAAAAAAACGCTGTGAAAGAAACAATTAAGAACGATAAAAATGACCGATTCTTAATGAAGGAATGCAGACGAAAGCTACACTTGCAGATAGATACACACGTTGAAAACACACGTATATTAGTTATATTTTATCACGTCGACAATGGAAATGGACATATTGTGATGCACAACTAAAAAATGTTTAAAATCGGTAACATCTATTGAATGAAATGACTCAAAATCCAATCCTCCTCCACAGTAAACTTAATCTAATTAATTTTCATTGTGTGGAAATATTCATTTTTTAATCTCTTAAAACTGATAATTTTTCAGTTCAGTTAAGTAAATACACTGCTTTACAACGTGACTGTCATAAAATAAACAGCTGCTGTAAGGTGGTGTATATATATATATATATACACACACACACAGATATGAAATGACTATTATTTGTATTATTGATCATCTTTCCCTGATCCTCAATCATCCAGGAGGATATTACTGATGACATTCCTCATAAATTAGAGTTTAATATACTTTTCTCTATTTGACATCAGGGAAACTTCAATATCCTTTGGGTTATGACAAAGAACTTCTCAATACATCGTAATGGACTTTTTGTAGCTAAAATAAAATTAATTGGATTAATCAAATAAGAATTTGAGATCAATATAAATAGTTGCCGTCCTAAAGATGAACACAACAATAATATGAGCAGTTATGTCTCAATATTTTATATTACGTTTTGTAAGATGTGCTAATTCATTACAGTCTGTCCTTTGTGAATTAAATATAGAATAAGGCGCAAAGCCGCTTGTGCAAACTGCACGTGCAGATGTAGAGGAGCGACTTTCCCCATTTCCTGTTTCACTGCTGGTTGCAATTAAAACAAACAGGTCTTCTTAAATGTCTGCAAACGGCCGGTTTTACGATAAGCTGCTGCAGACAAATCTTATGTTTCTTAGTGCAGAACATGGCGCTAGTCGCTGCAGGATGCGTGCGTGTAGAGGAACCAGAAGTACTGGTAGAATACCAGGAGTCTCAGGCAGTGGCCGAGGGGGGGGCTTCGTCTGTGCCACAACAACTACAACATAGGAGAAGTGCATTTACCCGTGAAACAGTGAGGTCTGTCATCAGCTGCTCAAAGGCCCGCGTCTCCTCTGCCTGCTTCTGGTTGTGCAGCGCTATCTTCTCGCTGAACTTCCGGGGGTTTGAGCCACCTGTGCCTGGGGAGCCGGACATGATGCGGGCCGCAGTTTCACAACTTCAGCTACTTGTGGTGTTGGAAGGGTTAAAAAAGTGCTGTTAGGCGCTCGGAGTCTCACTGCCCAAAGTCTTTGAGTGAACACATCACCGTTTAAAAACAAAAAGTCCGACTGAGCGAAAGTCGTTTCAGAGAGCAGCCCACCACCAGTTAGTTACCGTAAACCGAGCTAGCGCTGTTAGCTAAAGCCGCTAGGCTAATTCAGCTAAGCTAACCCTAAATAAAAGTTGTCTTGTGCCCGTAGAGCGAAGTAAATCAAGCCGGTGCGAGTTGTGAGGTCGCGGTTTACTTTCCAACCGAACGAGGTGTGGGTTAAAATGAGTTAACTGCACAGTCCAACTTCATATTGACGTTATCCAGCGAACCACTTGTTTGAATGTAGCGCTAGCATAACGTTAGCCGTCATTGCTAACAGGCGAACCGCTGCGGGAATCCAGAGTAAACTAGCCGCGGCAGCTAGCAGAGTTAGCTAAGCCGCTGTCAGTGTCATCTCATCGGATTTGTTTGTCGCACGAACGCGCTTCGCCGCCTTGCCGACACTCGGACATCGGTCCACCGCTTAACTGGCGCGTATCACAAGCAACTTGTCTCCGTTTTTGTGTTTGTTTTGTTTTTAGAGAAAGTTATTAGCCGTGGAGGCTAACTCTCGCCGCTAACGTTAGCAAGGCTCCCGAGATGTTGTATTTCAACAAGTGTCCGTTGGTCTCTTGTCCGGACTCACAAAAAAAAAAAAAAAAAAATTAACTAACTCCAAATAACCAGCTGGGAAACCACCACAGACACAAATGTGCGCACGGAAGTAACGTTAATCCACAAATGTGACACTTGAGCCCGATATCACAGCGGAGTCCTCAGTGTGTTAATCCACCGATCTCAGGCGAACTCCCACCAGTCCGGCGAAGACAAACAAACAGCGCCGCGCAGAAGAAGAACAGAAGAGCGCTCGTCTCCGGTTCGAAGGCGGTTAAAACCCAGAAGTCCTCCGCGGAGTAGCTGCTCGTGTTTCTCGGCTCCGTGGCCGTCGGTTGACGGGTCTGTTGACGGAGACTCGGATCCGCTGGCTCGTTATCCTCACACGACAGAAAAACATCCCCTCGTTAAACAGCGTCGGTACCGGCGGTGTCCGCGGGGGGGCGCCGGAGCGACTGAGCGGTGGGAGACGTTGAACGGTCATTGTTCCCGTCTGTGACGACAGGAGGTCTTTGTTTTTATTGTTGATCATCCACTGATTCATTGTAGGGAGAAGCTTTCTCAAAATGATGGCGTATTTACTAACAATGCAGGACTTAATAGTTTGAATATGAAAATAATTACTGGAGATAAAATAATACATTATACAAAACTACAAAATAATCAGTTTTGGTCAAAAATTAACTTAGGATCTCTGAATATTCAAACATTTTCTATATAATGACAAACCTTTGAATGAGAAATGTTGTCAACATTCCGACTCAACGCTCAGGTACTTAACGCAAAGCACATCTTATCTTCTATTCTAAGTCGGGTAAGATACTTATTTTAACTTCCATAACATCTTCAGATCAAAGATAACTCAAAATACACACGTTATTTTAGTACTTTGTCTATTTCACTCAATTTAGTATGAAATAATGCTTCATATACATAACATTTCAGAAAACATTTGATCCCCAAAATGCTCTTAATGTAGTGGTGAAGTTTCATGTTAATATCTACTCTATGATTCTTTGACCCTTTTCACCTGTAGTGTTTTCAACCGGTCGATCGTGTGACTGAACTTCTCTTTAAAGGAAGTTTTGTTCAAACTTTACAGCCTCGTTCTTCTCTGGATTCTGGAGGTTTGTTCAGACCTCAGAGACGCTGTTATAATCATTAAGAAAAACATGGCAAAAATGAGTGATACGGAAATATTATGAATCCTCTTCGTTAAAACTTTATTCAAAATAAAATGTCAAGACTACTTGTGATATATCAGCTGGAAACTTATTTTTTCACACAAAGTTTGTGTACTGAACAGAATCTGGAAGGTAAAATTAAAAAAAATAGAGTAGTATCATTTCCAGGAAAAGTGACTGATAGGCAGCTTGGTCCAGGTTACAACAAACTAAAACCAGAGCCCAACTCACCGGGAGATGTGATCTAAGCATGAAACTAATTCATTCAGATCTAGAGATATGTGTGTGTGTTCATGTATTTTCTTTTAGTTGGGTTTAACAGCTCAATGTGAGCCTTTTTTTGAGAGTCGTATTAAAATGTTAAAAAATACCAATTACACAAATTAAGAAATCACCGGTTTTGAGCGCTGACATTCGAAGGATCTCACACAACATGGAAAATCTATTTCTTTGAACACAAACGAAGAATAAAGAAGTTCTGGATAAATCTCAAAATCTAACCAGAGCTGAGGGCCGACGTTATAAAATATATAAACGTGCACACGGTAATTCACGTCGTGGCATTTGGGAACATAAGACTGACTAGTGTGCGTTCCATTATCGCTCGCGTGGAAATGTCAACACGATACAAGACACGTGTCCTTGAGTGCCGGAGCAGATGAAATAAGACACAAAGCTGGATCGCTGGACATAAAACATACTTTTTCTTTTATAATGAATCCAGGCTCAAGCACAAGAGACGTCATGACAGTCGAAAGCAAAATAAAACGTACAAATCTTAAACTGACGACGACTCAGGCCGTTAAAGCACGTAAATGGTGATCTACAGAATAATTATTATTATTAAAAAATAATGCACATACAGCTGTAGAAGCAGGGGGAGAAGTGCAGGGGGGGGGGGGTTCAGGTGAGGGCTTTTTTTTTTTTCTTTCTGCAACTCACAAATTGAGTTTTGTAGTTTTTGGATCAGTGTCTGTAGCCCTTTTTTAAATTGCCTCTTTCCCTTTTCTATTTCCCATAAAACTTCTTGTTGAGCAGGAAGATGAGCAGGTTGACGTTGATGGTGGCCCGGTCGAACAGCTTCATCACCGCTACGCCTTCGTACTGCAGCTGGAGGAGATCCTGAGAGACGGAAGGAGCAAGAAGGAGATCAGCCTCCACGAGTTCACCAATGAGGAGGCTTAAAGCTGCATTCTGTGCAGTGACCAGCAGGCGGCGCCTCCTCTGCTCCCATAGAATCTATGAGGAAATGACTCTACTGCTCCTGATTTAATCCCTCAGTAAACAAGTCCTCTTCAATACAGCATGATGTTCATGACCAGACCATAATGCAGGGATGCTTTAGGGCGGGGCTACACGCTGATTGACAGGTCTCTCCATTAGATCGATACCTGGTGTCTACAGAGAAGATGGAAAAACCGGAAGCGTACCTGGTATTCCAGCTGCAGCGTCTCCAGGTGCACGCCCATGAACTTTGCCTTCACCTCAAACACGCCGACCGTCTCTGACGGAGAAATCTCAAATATGGCATTCTTGAACCTGCAGAGAGAGAGAAAGACCCGCAACAGGAAACTCATCAACCTTCAGGAATTAAACGGGCAACCGCAGATAAACGACGCGTCTCCCGCATGGAGCGCGGGACCGCCAGGAGAGGAGGTTTCATGCAAAGAACTACAGGAATGTGCTCGAGCGGCCGGGCGACATTTATTTTCTCGACGCAGTCGCAAAAATCCCTTCCACCGTACAAATGACCTTAATGGATGAGCATGAAGCTAGTACTTGGCATTTAATGCTGTGCTACACAGCTCGTGTTAGGAAGCTGGCGAGTCCTCTCTAATGTCTCACTGGTTGGGCTGCAGGTCCTCGATGGCGATCAGCACGCCCTTCTCGTGGAGGCGGGACGCGGTGTACTTCTGAGAAACCTGCTTGCTCTTCTTGGCTTTGTGGTCGCCCGGTTTCTTTGACAACCTGAAAGAAAAGAGAAACCGACTCAGCGCTGATCATTGAGGCGTCGTGGCGTTTGAGGACCGCGTCGTATTTAACATTTAGGACAACGGGAAACAAAACAAGAAAACCACGTCTTCTGTTCTTCCAGAACTCGTATACAAGACACACACACTCTTTTTTTCTCCAAACTACGAGAGTAGAGAAGATCTTCTCAGTTACAGATTATACTGGAAGGCTGAGAGGATCCAAGAGAAGTGGTGAAATCTGGAACCTTTGACAAACTATACACACTTATTTTTGCAGTGTAAACAGTAAATTGTTTTATTTTATTTCATATGTAAATTCTATTTTAATGCTATTTTAGTAATAATTTATAATATATTAGATTTTATTTTCTTATAAAATATATTTCATCAAAACCAACGTGTCACAATTACAGAATTCTATGTCAATGTTGTTTTAACTGATCCCTCATATCATTGTACACAAGTAGGTATGTTGTTATCTCGTGGTTCTTATGTACTCCGCTCGCTGAGGTCAAAGGTCACTCACTTGCCCTTGCTGGCCAGGTTGTCCATGCACGTCTTGATGTACTGGTTGTACGAGTCGATCTGGACGTTGAAGAAGTTGGTCTTGGAGTTCAGCGCCACGTTGGTCTGCTGAAGCCTCACCAGCTCGGCTTTCCGCCGCTGACGGTACCGCCGCTGGTTTCTGATGTCCTGTCACACACACACACACACACACACACACACACGGCGTCAGTGAAAAGCGGCAGCACAGCGAGGTGCCTGGTGTCCCCGGTGGGTCGGCGCTACCTTGGCGATGTCGTTGATGAGGTCCTGGTAGCGGTTCTCGGGGTGGACCTTCCCCAGCTCGGCCAGCCGCTGCAGGTTGCTCTTGATCTTGTCCTTCTTGCCCTGCAGCGTCAGGCTGTCGTCCACCACCGGCTTGGCCTGCTTCATCTTCTCCGGCGTCTTGGCGTCCCTGACGGCCCGCCTCTGCATGGCCCGCTGGTACTCCGCCTCCTGCCATCCGCCGCCACAACAACACGGGTTCTGGTTACTTTGCTGGTTTCGGTTAAAAGCAACGTGACCGTTGAGGTCTCTTATGGAGAAGCAGCTCGCGCGACCCGAGGGTTTCCTACGGCGCACAGCAGCGCCACACAAAGTCGCATTCATCTGGCTCAGATTCTTTTAGCTACGCTCTACGCTAAAGACCAGCAGCACTTGAGGTGTAAAATGTCAAAGAGTCTGCAGAGAGTTGGCAGACGGAGACACGGCAACATCCCCCAAACACTTAAATGTTCCCTTTTCTCTCAGACCTGTTCGGCTCCCGGGTTTGAGTCCAGGATCTCAGTCAGCGTCTCTCCGGGCTGGAAGCGGATCACGTCCACGATGAGCCTCTTGGTGCTGAGAAGAAGAAGAAGAAGAGGCCATTGAGACACGCGCGGGACCTCACTGGTGACAAACCACCAAAGAGCCGCGGCGTCCTACTTGAGGAGGAGCGTGCGGGCGTCCATCTCCACGTTGGCTTCGCCCGGGACGTCGAACTTGTTGGTGAGCGTGAGAGAAACTTCGGTCTTCCCCATCTGCTCCTTGTTGGGGTCGTCTGGAGGAAGAGGGTTTTCACCTGGGCGGCACACAGGGTCACATGACCACGTGGTTCAGGTAATAGATGCCATCCTCTAGCGATGCAACTAACGTACTATTTGTATTGGATTCTAAAGATTGTTTTTCGATATTCACATTTAATATAAAAATGAATCGCAACATTATTTTTTTTCTCATGAAATCATCTTAAAACGAAGACTAAAATGCTGATCATTTAAAAGGGGTGAATTGCTTTGATGTAATTTGCCGGCCCGCTCACCGATGAGGGACTCCACAGTGGGAACCTCCCCCAGGTCCTCCAGCAGCTCGTGGATTGGGTCGTTGTGCTCCGGCGCGATGGCGTCCTGGTGGTCCAGCAGCAGCTGGGGGGGGGACGGGGACAGGAGGACTCAGAGTCAGTTTGTCTCTCACAAACATCTGGAAACACTCATTATCAGGAGGAGTCACATGACTGTTGCGGACACCGTTGCTACGGTGATCCTCGTTAATCTATAACCTCTACAGCTGTTATTGCTAGCAATTTATGAATCAATATTTGACTTTCCACGCTCATAAATATATATAAATAAAATACCAATCCTCTGCCACTCGCTAAAGGTGTTTTTTCCTCTTCCCGCTGGGAGGGTCAAAGTTAAGGGGAGGTTCCGATGGCCCGCTGGTGGTGTTAACGGGGGGGGGGGGGGGGGACGCGTTCTGTGAGGTCACCGTGTGGGTGTTGATGATCTCTCCGATGGAGATGTAGATGACCGGCTTGGTGACGTTGACCAGGTCGGAGTATTGATCCACGTTGAACTTGTCCTCCAGCGAGGGAACGTCACACGCCGACAGGAAGAAGCGCCTGCGGTGGAAGAGAGGAACGTCAAAGGGACAGAGGAGCCTCGGACGACCACAGAGGACAGAAGGGGAGGAGCCAAACCTGAACTTCTGGTAGGAGGCGCTGAGATACTCGTTGATGGGATTGAGGTGGGCGTTGTCCCCCAGGAACATCTTGTTGGAGGCGGCGTGCTGCAGCATCTTGGCGATGGAGCCCAGGTTCCGCCGCTGCTCCGTGGTCAGCTGGCCGCCCGCCGACACCTCGATGATGTCGAAGGCGTCGGGCGCCACGATGGCCGGGTTCATGTAGCGGTAATACAGCAGGTTGCCCACGATCTGACGGGTCAGTTCAGCTCAAATTAAAACACATTGTAGCCTGAACAAGGAGTTCAAATAGCACATCTGGATCCGACCCCAATGAAATATAACAGAAATGTCACCAGGTCGAAGCTCTACCAACTTCTCACAACACGTTTTTAAAGACTGGCTGTGTTTTCATTTGGTGTTTTATTTTTTTTAAGGCTGCTTCACAAAGTAAAAGCGTCGCTACGACGAAGAGGCAAACCTTGAGCAGCTCGTCCTCCGTAGCATCTGGGAACTTCTCATGCAGCGTGTCCTTCAGCACTTTGGAGACAAAGCGCATCCCGTATCTGACGGACACAAGACAGCCGGACAGAGTGAGGCCGGACACACACACACACATATATATATTGTATTGTATTGTACGTGCGGTGATGCTACACGTGAGGAGCGTACGGTATTTTATCCACAGAGACGATGATGGCGGACAGGAACTTGTCGGTGATGCTCTTCATGGTCTTGATGGAGGCCTCCAGCCTCGTCCTCACCTCCTCGTGGGCCATGGCCTGCTCCGGGGTCACGTCGTAGGGCAGCTTGCTGTGGAGGAACGGAGGAAATTAACCCTTAATAAACGTATGAGGTCGTTTTTTCTGGGTTGCCTTGCTATGACATCATCGCCATCTACCCCCCCCCACTCCCCTCGCCCCTCACCTGGCCTCCCCGGTCTGCGTCTCCATCTGGTTGACCCAGCTCTTGTAGATGTCCACCGGGTCGGTCTTGATGTTCAGGGCTTTGTCGTCCATGATCTCCTTGACGACCGGCGCCAGGATCTGCCGCAGCGCGTTCTGCCCCCGCGCCCCCCGGTGGAAGCTCACCACCATCTTGATGATGGTGGGGTTGCCCGTGACGATCTCCTTCATCTGGTCGACCTTTGACCTGCGGATGGGTGACACGCGTCACTTCTTGTTCACCAGGTTCCGGCCTGGTAGCCCTCCTGACCCCCCCAGGTGCTTTTATCTCAAAGGGATGTGAAGAAACACAAGGAGCGTGCGGAGCCGCACAGCATCTTCTCAAACTAAAGACTCCGCACGGCACCGAGTAGTAGAAGAAGAATCTAGATCTTTCCTTCAGGACGAGCAGTCACACCGCGTGGGGGTTTAAATTCAGTTAAGATGTATTTATAACTATAGATTATATCATAAGAATTTATTACAGGTGAAGAACCTCTGAGGCCGACTCTAACTCTCAATACCGTTTATCCTATCAGGGTTTTTTATGAAGTAGTATTTCGGTTTCTAGATTCTTTAGATACAAGACGTCTTCAATTTGTACATTTGAGTCAATATTTAGCAGCCAAATCAAACTGTTTTAGAGGACACACAAGCGTTCATCCGGCCCTTTAGAGGATCATCTCATCTTATTATCTGCTGAGGCCCGAGAAACAAACACATCGGTTCTCACTTGATCTCCTCCTGCAGGGCGGTCTTGAAGAGCTTGGTCAGCAGATACTCCTCCCTCTGGTTGGAGGCGTAGTTGTAGAGGGTGAAGATCACAGAGTCCATGAACTTGGTGGACCGGTTCTGCGGCATCTGGAAGATCAGCTTGGCGAGGTAGGTGGGGTTGGTCTGAGGAAAGCGAGCAGAAGAGGGTTAGAGGTTTGCTTCCGTCGGGGATCTAGAGGCGGTTCTGCGGCGTCATACCTGCAGCAGGTAAAAGAGGTACTGGTAGGCCTCTAGCTTGAGCCTCTTCTCCTTGCTGAGGGCCTTCAGCCCCCCCCTCTGCTTGTTCATCATCATCATGTCGGAAAGCTGGCCCTTGTTCTTCTTGGTCAGCTTCTTGCTGTGGGACACCACCTCCTGCAGCGTGATCTTGTTCTTCACCAGCAGGCCGATCTTGATGTCCATCAGGTTCAGGTCGTTCTCCAGCTGCTGGTTGGACCGGATGTTGGTGACCACCTCCTCTCGGAGACGCATCAGCTCCAGCTCCTCCTGGAAGTCCTGGTCGCTGTGGTCCAGCAGGTGCACAAACTTCCTCACCACCGCCATGGGCGGGTCCTCGGCGCTGACTGAGGGGGGGAGGGCGGGGCATGTTTGAGGGTTATGAGTCATAGCACTGACAAAAGAATCAGCAAGTAGGGGGGGGGGTCTACTGACTAAATATGCGTATAAACGGATATAAATTAGAAAGAAGAAGCTCTCTACTCACTCAGCGTCTTGTAGTCGTCTCGGGCCTTGTTGGCTCTGATGAAGGCCTGGATCTTCACCACCTGGTTGATCTGCAGCAGAACAACAACAACCATAGTCTTCATCGTAACAACAGAAGAATCCGTCGTGGGTCTCGGTGGAAACGACCCCGCACACTTCAGGGCTAAATGACTCCCCCCCCCCCCCAAGCTAAAGGACTGAATGTCCACGGAGGCACCGGGGGACATTTAACGCTTCTGGGAGACGACGCAGCACCGTTTACTGCACACGCCGATGTTCACGATCCCTCGTCTCTCCGGAGGGTCGTTGAAAAACACTCGTCTGCTTGACCTCCAACTCACAGGAATGTTGCCCTTTTTATTTTGCGTCTCAAATGGGATCTTTCCGCTTTGAATCAAAGAAGATAACGTTCAGGCTTTGAGTACTCACGTGATCCTGGAAGTACTTCAGACGATCCCTGTACTTCTTGCGAGCTTGGTGCATCCGGACCATGGACTGGATCTGAGGAGGACGGACACAGACCATCAGGATAAACATAAACCCCGGGAGGAAGAACCCGCAATTCCCTTCATGAATCCACCTGGTGCCAGAGTTTAACAAAGATTACAACAAATAGAATGGAAATAAAGATATATGAGCATAAAATCTTAAAAGGGAAGAAGAAGAATAAATTATCCAAAACATGTAAAACTACAAAGATAAATATAAATTGTATAATGAAGTAGAAGCGGATAGAAACAGCGCAGTGAAACGTAGCATTGCGCAATGTTATAAGAAGTCACGTCGTAGGTCACGAGGTCAGAACGACATCACATCCGTTCTCGTACCTTGACGGCCTCGGCGCTGTGGTCCTGCAGATACTGTTTGCGGTCCTTAAACTTCTTCCTCTGTTTGTGGCCTTTCCAGTGGGCCTGACGACAGAAAACACGCGGTCAGCAAACAAGACCCCGGGGAGGTCTCGGCGGACGTTTCCACGGTGCCGCGGCGTGCAGGTGTACCTGTATGCGCGTGACAGCGGGGTCCTGGGACTTCAGGAAGCTCAGCCGCTCCTTGATGCCGTTCCGCACCAGGTAGCCTCGGCAACGGGCCTGCAGCCGGGCGATGAGAGACTCGTTGGCCCGCCACAGCTGCTCTCGATTGTAGGCCGTGGTTACCCCGGAAACCACCGACTGAAAAGGGGAAGGCGCCGAGGCAACCGGTTGAACACGGCCGTGGAAAAAATACTTTATGTGAAAGAGAGAAGTTGCGGCGGGGCGGCGCGACCCACCTGGATGTCCTCCTTGTTGAGGTGCGAGCTGTTCTGCAGGAAGTCCTCAGGCTCCACCCACGTGCCCTCTTTGCTCTGCAGGTTGTAGTAGTAGTTGTGTCCCCCCTTCACCCAGTGCTTCACCCACTCGCTGCCGTTGTCGCCTGGACGCACAGAGGAACGCGGGAGCCGGTGAACAAGGTGGAGGCCCAGCGTGGGCGGAGGATTCCACTCGGTACGACTAAGGTGAACTATTTTGGATACGTGAAGTCAGCATCACTTGAGGAGGTCAGTTGTGACCATTTCCACCCTCCACGTTCTCCTCAAGGAAACCAGACTTCATTTAAAAAAGCCCTGATTTCTGCTCACAGAGCGAAGGAGCTGCTCGGCGGCGGCCGCCTCCTTTGCTCAGTTTGTTTTAAATGAGTTTGAGTCAAAAGGAACCCGCCCGAGGCCCTTGTGTTCTGTGAGGTGAAAACGGCTCATTTTGTCAATGGAGTCTTGTGGATTTGAAGAGAGCAGAAATAACGGCTTCCGTTTCCCTTGAAACAAACATCGCAGACTAAAACCGCCGACAGATCATCACAAACAACCGCGGCACGTCTCCTCGCTGAAAAGAAGTCGTCCCTGAGTTTCTCTCCTCACCTTCGGCCTTCTTGTCGCCTTTGACCCTCCAGAGGTCGTCCTGGTAGGTCTGGGCGCACTCCGAGGTCACGCCGTAGAGTCCCGCCCCCGGGTTCCTCAACGCCGCCAAGGTCTGAGCCGACTCGCCGCTGTCCACCGCCTGGTTGACGGCCTGGATGGACTGCGAGACTGCAGAATCAAAAAAAGGTCATAGAGATGTCGCAGCGCCGCCCCCCCCCCAAATAAAACGAGATAAGTTACACTGTAAGGCCTCCTGGGTGTCCTGGTTGGCCCTCAGAACGGCGTCCTGGATCTCATCCAACCACAGCACAGCAGAGGGGTCCTGGGTCTCCTGCAGGGACACGGGACCACATGATCAGAGACACACACGCCTTTAATCCATCATGGTTGTGTGCTGCGAGCGCTCTGGGTTGGTGGATGACGTCATCATGACGCGTTAATATCCGCCGTACTTTGTAAGAACCAGTAGATATAAACTATGGCTGTAATAAGATATTCATACATCTTTTGACATTTTAAGACGGTGGAATTAACATCCAAATGTAAAAACATACGTACGTAATATAAATGTGACGCCGGAGGTTTGGTTTATTTCAACATATTGATGCCTGAACAGACTTCACTTGCTCCCACCCGCTCGCCAAAAACCCAAAACGTCATTGAGAACTGAAGCGACGGCAAACCGCCTGCAGGCGGCGCACGGCGCCCACGTCTGCGGGGCGGCGGTTTGCTCCTCCCTCCCCCCGGCGCTCTCCGGGTCCCGCCCCCTTCAAGCCGAGCTTCAGGGGAAGAAGCGGAGGCGTGTGTGGGAAAGAGGCGGGGCGGGGGGGCTCAGGCTTTACCTGACGAGTACTAACCTCTGTTTATCACGCTTACACTTTAGTGCAATTGTTATTTGTGTGTGTGTGTGTTGGTTGTGGGGGGGGCGTGGCCTGGTGGCGCTCGTCAGACGTTATGAGCACATAAAGGAAGTGAGAGTTGAGGGCTGCTGGGCGTTTTCAGCCCCCCCCTCAGACACCATGAGCTCATTCACTTGTGTGGAGGCGGCCAGCTGTTGATTGGTGCAGCTGCAAAGTGAGCCGTGCGTAAACACACTGGGGAGGTGAGTCAGGCGAGTCTCTGCTGGACTTCCTGTGTTAACCGCGACCCCCCCCGACCCCCAGAAGACCTCGGATCGTTTCTAATAACTGCACGAGGTCTTCTGGGACTTTAAGTTCCATTCACGTCAACAATTTTTTATTCATTGGTCAGGTAAAAATACCACGTTCCAGCGAACGGCGTTCCACATCTCACACAGCGAGTCATGCAGTCCCAACTTTTTTTTAGGCGATCTCATAGTCGACCTTAACGAAAGGTAAACTTTTTGTTACAACGTCTGCACAGCTCATTTTTGCGCTGAGGCAAGAGAGTTTCTACATCCTTCTGTTTTACCCCTCAAACCTCCTCAGCCGGCATCGGGCACCAAACCCCAAAAGAACCGTTAAAACTCTGTGACTCTGTTAACTTTCAGGGTTCCTGCAGAACTCCTCTCAGCTGGACCTCTGGACAGGAAGTCCTCACTGAGCCAACTACTTCCTGCATCTACAGCTAATCGCCTCAAACAGCTAACCAGAGGCCGCCGCGTGTGTGTGTGTGTGTCCTTTTAGTGGGCAGCTTTCTGCCCTTTTATGGAAGCGACTGGCTGAGGCCTCTCATTTCTTTTGCCTGTGACATCAGGGAAATACTTTGCCTTTTTTTTTTTTTTTTTTTTTCCTTTCCTGTTTTTTTTAACTTGTAATTTCTTCTGCACACGTTTTATACGTGTGGCGAGTCGGCGCACGACGCCTCCGGCGGCTTCAATCGACGGCTCTTGCAGTTTACAAAAACAGCGCGAGCGGCGCGACCAAATATTTGGGAGCCCCGAGTGTGATAAGAGGCCTCCTTTATCCGTGTTTACACGGGACAGAGGCGGGGCCCCGCGTGCCGCAACGCTCCGAGAACCCTTCTGTTCAGCCGCCTCGATTCTGATGGAAGCAACGGCGGCGATCCGCTCTCACCGGCCTGCGGCGCCGCGAGTAAATCCAAACATGGTCGTCTCCCGGTGACAGCGTTAAGCAAATGTGCCGCAGACGTGCGCATTCATCGGCTCGCCACAGTCGGGGGAAGATACCGCAGGCAAATGAGACGGGTCAAACCTCAGGGAGCGCGAGAGAGAGAGAGACGCCGCCATGCGACAGGAAGTGAGCGGCGGTGGTGAGGGGGGGGGAATCGCACAATCAGCAGACTGGTCTCAGGGGCCTGAGTCACACAGAGCGCCCCGCCCCCCACAGAAGATACACAAACTAAACACGTTTTGTGTTTTAGTTAAATATATCACATATTTTCTACGTTAAGGCGAATATTAAGGGGTCAATGGTCAGCGACTACCGCGGGATGTAAGAAAACTACCCGTTTGTGTTTCGGGCCGATAGTTTGGAGCAGAAACGAGTTCCCATCCAGCGGCGTTCGCTCAAACCCGACCAGATATCGTCTGAGCAGTTAGCGAGCCTCCGTTCAGCCTCAGAGGCCTTAAAACACGCCCGACGCGTGTGATGCAACCGTTTGCATAACGACACCCTGAACAAACACCGAGGAGAGCCGGAGTGAACCATGTCTTCCACGCATGACCTCATCACGCGTCCTCTCTGCATCACAAGGCTGCGTGTGCGCGTGCGCGTCTGTGTCCGTGTGCACTCACGTGAGCTTTCTCTCGCCGGGCCTCCAGCAGCTTGTCGTGGTAGTGCTGAGCCACGGACGGGTCCACGTCGGTGAGCTTGGCCGAGGGACTCTGCAGCATGGACAGGGTCTTGGCGGGATCCCCCTCGTCCAGCGCCTCGTTGATCAGTCCGATGGCAGCGATGCCTGCGGACGCACAGGCGTACAGCGCGCGGTTCTTCTCAACGCAGGTTGACGGGAGTAGCAGCAGAGGGCGGGACTTAGCAAACTAAATCTAAATGGTCCCTCTTCATCCACGACTGGTCTGCATTACTTATATGAATAATCAAAGCGATGGATCTGTTGTTAGCCTAATAGCTAATGCGAGCGCGTCCTTACGTTCGTGCTCCTCCTGCACGCTGGCGTTGACCTGGTCGACGCAGGCCTGGATGTCGTTCCAGGTGAGGAAGTCGCCTCCCTCCTCTCTGGCGGCCGCCTTGAGACGCATCAGCTCGTCCATGTACCTGAGGAGCACACGGCGGCCTCGGGGTCAAGAAACACACAACGGGCGCACACTGAAATGTGGGTGCTTACAGACGGGAGAACCCAGAAAAAACAAAAGTTAGTAGAGAACATTTTTTCGTAAACTCTCAGATTGTTGTTAGTCGATGGAGTCTCTTAGTTTGAAGAGTTGTATAAAACAGCCGTTTCTTCTCATAATAATAAGAAGAAACAGCTGTTTTATACAACTTGAATATTACGGGTTTATAATTCACAGCTTTCAGAAGAGTGGAAAGACAAACAAAAGGTGCGGTTGATGAACCTCTGGGCGGTTTGAGTGAAGCGAGGTCAAATGTTCTCATCTCTTTCTGTGAATTAAGCTTTTATTTATTAACAAACCACAGTTGGTGATTGTTGTAAAAGAGAAAAGACGAACGAGCAGTTTTAAGGAGTTTCACTTGGTCTTTGTCGAGTCTGAATGAACTCAGTGTTTAACCCCCATTAGTTGGGTAAATGTTCCTGTCAATGGAGTCTGGTGGCTCCGAGGAACGTTTGTTTGATACGTAACGTTTGCTTCTTGGGAGACGAATGAAGAAGTAAAACCGATGTTTATTTTATAAGACGTGGAGAGTTTCAGAGAACATTAATAAACTATAATATGTTGTCAAAACTGCTGCTTGTAAATTATATTTACTATATTTTCAATGAGTCTCCAAACAAAAGCCCGATGTTTAGCGTGTGTGTGCGTGCGCGCTCACCTCTGGGCGTACTCGTCCTCCACGTTACTGAGCCCGGTGACGGCGCTCGCCAGCTGCTTCCAGAGCGCGCCGCGGTCCCCGACCTCCATCGCCTGGTTCATCAGCACCACCGACGACAGCATCTCCACGGCGACCAGCAGCTCGGGGTGGGACAGCGAGCCCTGCGGGGACAACGAGGACCAATGTCTCTACTATTATTCCATCAACTGGAATTAAAGACGGACGCGTCTGCAGCAAATACCTCCAACACCCAGTGACACAAAGCAAAGCATTTTGTCTTTGGTCAACTGTCCCCTTAAGATATTGTTCCACTGACCCTCAATAACCACATATTTATTATCAAGCAACTTTTCCAAAACTTTCCAAACCTTCTCCGCCTTCATTATTCCATTAAGTTCTGAGGTTTTAAGGCCGTACGTTGTAACTAATTCATAATCTTTCTCCTTCTGAGAAGTAAAGTCTGCAGATAACCACCATTTAGATCTGAAACGTATGAACATGTCAAAACAAAACAGGCCCATCAATCGTTCCCAGAGCCCCGGATGACTCTTCAGTCGCTTGTGTCACTCCAATAATCCAAATACCAAATATGATTTAATTGTCAACAGCAATTAGCATGAGCTAACATTTGAAGAAGCAGCAACTGTTTGAAGCTGAAGACGCGAGTTGGCGGTACCTCCGGGCTTTGCTGCTGCAGGCTGAGCAGCTCCCTCTGGTAGAGGTCCGCGGCGCCGGGGTAGACCTCCGGCAGCTGGGCCTCAGGGTTCATCAGCTCCTGCACCGTCTGCTCCGGCACGCCCGCCCTCACAGCGGCGTTGATGCGTTCCACCGCCCTCAGCACTACACACACACGGGGTTAATTATCAGAGCAGCTACAGACGTGGCGACGGGGAAGAAGACCTGGATGACGTGCGTACTCTTCAGGTAGCCTTCTGCGATCCCATTGGCCAAGGCCACGCCGCTCTGCAACTCGTCCCGGGTCAGAGCTTCTCCTGGAGACGCCTGGCGGGGGCAGAAGAGGAGGTAACGCCACGGCCAGGAGACGGAACAACGCGGACTTGTCTTTTTTGCACGCTGATCCCCACCTGGTCTTTGGCCTCCCGGTCGGCCTGCAGCTGCTTGAGGTACCAGCCTTTGTTCTGGACCTGCAGGTTCTGGACCCCCACGGCCTTGAGGGCGTCGTACAGCTTGTCCTCGTCTCCGCTCAGCAGCGCCTGCTCGGCCGCGCTCAGGGCGTTGCTCACTGGAGGAAGAGCGGAGGTTGTCACGGCTGCGCGGCGGGAACCGTGGCGACGGAAAGGCCGCGCGCAGACTCACCGTTGACGTTGTTCACGTTGCCCTGGATCTCGGCCTGCGTGAGGAGCTCGTCGTAGATGTCTCGCTCTGCGTCGGCGTTCTCCATTTGCTGTTGGAACAGAAAGTAACAGGTATCTTATTCCCGATTCTTAAAATCGTAACTTGTACATTCACATCGCTGGGCGATGCGTAAAGAGGACGCAGTGATTTCATTCCATCCAATTCATCCATTTCATTCTTCCAGCCAACGTTCTTCCTTTTTTGTCGACCTCAGCTTTTTTTTCAATTCTTCTTCCGCTTCAGACGCTGCCCCGTGGCTGAGATCTGGAAGCGGGGGACACTATTTTTGCCTCTTCCTCCACGTACCCGTTTGCGTGAGTTGGCCACCTTCTGTCCCTTGGCCTGGTACAGCGTGTCGTGGTACTGGCGGGCGGCGCCGGGGACCAGCTGGACCAGCATGGCGTTGGGGTTCTGCATGGCGGCCACCGTGCCCTCCGGTACGCCCTGGTCGATGGCCTCGTTGATGGCGATCACAGCGGCGTGTACTGAGGGGGGGGGCAGGAGGCGGTGAGGGGATGACGCACACAGATTTTGGGGACTTCAATCTGCATTTTGTATTCTTTTATCTTCGTGTTAAGTTTCAATCTTGTGAACAAGCAACGCCAGTTCTATATTTGAGGACATTAAATTGACTGATCATAACTAAATGATGCAGTATACCGGGTTTTATTAAGTAGACAATACAGAATGAGTTTAATATCGATGCGTCAATCATCTAAACTACAGTGCATCCGGAAAGTATTCACAGCGATTTTTGCAAATCTGTTAAAAATAAAGAACAAAAACATAACCTGTACATATTTTTAACAGATTTGCAAAAATTTGCAAAAAACAGTTTTCACTTTGTCATTATGGGTTGTTGTGTGTAGAATTATGAGGAAAATAATGAATTTAATCCATTTTGGAATAACGCTGTAACATAACAAAATGTGTAAAAAGGGGAGCGCTGTGAATACTTCACGGATGCGCTGTACATCATGTGAGCGTTTAGGCCCCGCCCCCTTGCCCGGCTCACGTGCAGCTTCGTCCACAGAGAGCTCATTGGCCAGGATGCCGCCAATCTTGCTGAAGGCGGGCATCTGGATCCCATACTTCTCCAGCTCACTCTTCATGTTGTTGATCTCCTCCTCTGTGGGAGAAGACGGAGCAGAAGGAAAACATCAATGGACGGAGCAGATGGGCCGGGGGGGGGGGAGGAGCTTCTGGAAATGTTTTTCACATTTCCTGAAGCTCCTCCAAACTGCGGCATGCTGGAAAAAAAGTACACCCCCCCACCCCCTTCTCTCAGCACCACTTTCACATTTCAACCGTCCCTTTGGCAACACGGGACATTGGTAGACTTACTTACCGGTGAAATCTACCTTCCCGTACAGATCCTGGATCTGAGGCGCCAGGCCCAACTTGAACAGGTAGAGGCTGAAGAAGAGAAGCAGTGAGACAAAGACCGGTCCGAGCGAGCCGCATCAGGACACAGTCCTGTACTATAAAGCGGAGGGAACAGATTATCCGGAGGGTTTGACGTCTGAAACAAAGTGACTTACGCACACAAGTATAGGACGTGATCACGTGACCTCACCCAGTCGGGTCACATTAAAGCCTCGAGTGCGGCGTCCTGGCCGTCGCCATATTGGTTTTTTTTTTTGCAACCAGGGAGGTGATAAAAGAGCTAACTAAGTACAACCAGAGCGTGAATAAGACCGACAAAGTTACAATAGACCTCTGAAAAGAAATAATAGTCCTGCAGTGGAACCCGATTTTGTTTTTGTTCAAATTTTGCAGTTCTGCAATCGCGGCAACACAATAACACTCGTTTCCTGCGGTGCATTAATCAAAAGACCGACAGCCTCTGTGGCATCTGGTACTGCTTTGTGTTTGGGACAATATATGTGCATATTTATACACACACATAACTATTTAATATAACTTGAAACAAAGCGATCCGGAGCACACACACACACACACACACACACCAGTGTGAGCTTTGCAGGTGAGGGGTACCTGAGTGCATGTATGCAGTAGATGCAGCGCGGCATGTTCTTTCTGTCGTATATGTCGGTGGTTTCTGGGTAGAAGATCTGAAACACAAACGGGGGAGGGGGGGGGGGTAATTGGAGCCGGGGGCTCGTCCGGTTTCGGGTTAGCGGCTCTGACGCAGTGGAAATGAGCATTTAACACGTGAAAAAGGACCATTTTCTGTTGAAGCGGTCATTGTTTGACCTGATTTTCCTTTTCGTGGCAACATAATGACATTTAGGCTTTTCCAGAGTTAACAATGGGGACATTCATCAAGAAAAGCCTTTGATTGATATAACGGGCAACTGTTTTTCAGTCTAAATAGGCATTTAAAAACGGACTAAACCAAACAGTTTCTCTCCTTCCCCGAGTGTTGAGCTTTCATATCAACAGCAAGAAGCCATCCGATACCAGCCCATTCAAAACTAAAGTATTTAGTCTGAAAGCATTTCTCAAAACATTCAGAGAGTGAACCCTCTTTCTACTAAATATCACCAGATTAGCTGATTTGCTTGCTCTGGCTATTGAAGTGGTCCTTTGAGGTCAAATCACGGATCCCGGCAGAAGCAGGTGAAACAAATGCCTGATATTAATTTAAATAAAGTCCCCCCCCCTGTATGGTTTGACTTGTAGGTGCGTGCAGGAGGCCTGCTCACCTTCGGCAGTCCCTTCTCCGCCATGGCGTTGAGCCACTGGATGACGTTGTCCGTGTGTCTGAAATGGAGACCGGTGGCCTGAGAGAGAGAAACCAAACATCAGCATCACCGCCTCATTCGGCCCGACAACGAGGGTCCGACGGCCCCGCGGCTTCAGCCGGGTCGCAGGACGAAGCGGGGAAAACGCACTCGAGGATCCGCGGAGGAGCGTGAGACGCCTCCCAGTCCCACCACCAAACAACGGGGATCAACGCGGCGTTTCCAACAGCACCGTAAAAAAAGGCAGGAGAATTTTTTTTTTAACTTTGTGGCCAATCACCTTGTAGCGCGTCTGCTCGCGGTCGTAGATCTTCTTCAGCGAGACGGTTCTCGGGGCGAAGAAGTTGCCCAGTTTGGCCAGATAGACGCCGTTCCGCAGCCCCTCCTCCAGCTCGGTGGTGGGGGGCAACTCCTCGTCCAGACAGGCCTCCATCCATCTGCAGAGGAGAGCACACACACACGCATGTGACACGCGCAAGCGTAACATGCAAATACATTTGTACACACACAAAAAGGACAAAGATCACGTCCTTCATACAGTAAAACTGAAAGTAATTGAGTTCAGTTATAATTACAGCATTTTAAAGTGCAATTATCAACAGCCAGCTATTTAAGAAGCTGTTCCTCTGAACCAGTAAACTAAATCTCCCAGCAAGCAAACCAGAGCCGAGGGGCGGAATGTTGCTCGCTGCGTCCAAGCAAGAACGGGAGGAGTTAAAAGGGAGCCACTAGCATTGCATCATAGATCCTTCACATTCTCTAATAAGCACCAACCCATGAATTATTCTGCACCAATAAAACCAGCCTAACCGACGGCTCTGCACACACACACACACACACACACCCCAGCATTCCTGGTGTGTGTGTGACATTTCATTTCTCTCAGGTCACATTCCTGCAACGTGGGCCCCAGAGGAGACGCGCCGAGCCCACCCCCCCCCCCGACCCCCCCCGCTGGGTCGGGCCCGGTGCACCGGATTCCACCAACTCCAGTCATTGCCGCCCCGGGAATTGGGGAGGGAGGAGAATCGAACCGGCGTCTCTTCTCCCCCCCCAGTCAGTTATCATCGGGCCGCCTACCTCAGCGAAACCTCTTATTTCCACTGTAACACGCCGTGTTTGAACATGCGGCCCAATCCAGCCGCATGCTGCTTCACGTCCCATGTACCTCAACAGAGTCCTTTCTTACAGCACTTTGGAATTTTAGTATCAATCCGCGACGATTCTCCTCAAATCTTTGCCTGAAAAACAAACTTGACATACTTTCCCCAAAAGTTTTTTTTAATAAAGCTTGAACGCAGCGTGAAGTCACTCACTGTGAGCTAGCTAACCGCTAACGTTACCTAGCTCCTTGCTGCTTTCACCATATATCATCAGGAAACATTTATTACCAAAATATAGTAGTAGACAGACAAGACAGCAGTGCACAAGTAATAAATAAAGTAAGTAGAATAAGGCTTATAGGTTAGTATAAAACAAGGGAATAAAGTTAAAAATTTTAAATATTAAAAAAAGTAAAAAAAAAGATATATTAAGCATACAATGATGACGAGCTAACGAAGAAGTAACAATGTGACGAGTGGCAACAAAGTGATGAATAACAGTTAAAGTGACATGTGCAGTATGAAGCAGAGTGACCGGTGGGACGTCAGAGTCAGTCAGTGGGGGTCCGGCTCTGTTGATGAGCCCCACTGCCGACGGGAAGAAACTGTTGGTGTGGCGGGAGGTCTTAGTCCTGATGGACCTCAGCCTCCTGCCAGATGGAAGGGGCACAAACAGGTTTTGTCGGGGTGAGAGGGGTCGGCTACCATCTTTTTAGCTGCTTCAGAGACCTGGAAGCGAACAAGTCCTGCAGGGACGGCAGGTTGCAGCCGATCAGCCTCTCTGCAGAGCGGAGGACACGCTGCAGCCTGCCCTTGTCCTTGGCTGTGGCTACAGCGTACCAGACGGTGATGGAGGAGCAGAGGATGGACTCCATGATGGCCGTGTAGAAGTGGACCATCATCGTCTTTGGCAGGTTGAGTTTCTTCAGCTGCCTCAGGAAGAACAACCTCTGCTGAGCCTTCTTGGTGATGGAGCTGATGTTCAGCTCCCACTTGAGGTCCTGGGTGATGATGGCGCCCAGGAAACGGAAGGAATCCACAATAGTGGCGGGGGAGTCACACAGGGTGATGGGGGAGGGTGGGGCTCTGTTCTTCCTGAAATCCACAACCATCTCCACTGTCTTTAGAGCGTTGAGCTCCAGGTTGTTCTGGCTGCACCACGACACCAGATGGTCAGACTCCCACCTGTAGGCGGACTCGTCCCCACCAGAGATTAGTCCAATGAGGGTGGTGTCATCCGCAAACTTCAGGAGCTTGACGGACTGGTGGCTGGAGGTGCAGCTGTTGGTGTACAGGGAGAAGAGCAGAGGGGAAAGAACGCAGCCTTGGGGGGAACCGGTGCTGATGGTCCGAGAGGCTGAGACATGTTTCCCCAGCTTCACGTGCTGCTTCCTGTCAGACAGGAAGTCTGTGATCCACTTGCAGGTGGAGTCGGGCGGTGCAGCTGGGAGAGTTTGTCCTGCAGCAGAGACGGGATGATGGTGTTGAAGGCAGAGCTGAAGTCCACAAACAGGATCCTGGCGTAGGTTCCTGGGGAGTCCAGATGCTGGAGGATGTAGTGGAGGGCCATGTTGACACAGACCAGATCCTCATTGGGAAAGGTCCCGCCGGCCCCCCGCGGCTACACCACCACGCTGTCACAGCCGATAATCCCCCAGACGGGGCCGGGACATGAAGAACGTCTGACGACGGTCCGCGCTGCAGACTGATGCATGCGATACATGTAGACAAATGTGGGTCGGAGGTCACTGGTCTTTACGTTTAGAACACATCTGTGGGAAATTCCGCTTCAACTCGTTCCACCATCAAAGGTGCCTTTCAATGGTAATGTCGTTCTTTTCCTCAAGCAACGCGTTTGTCTTCAATGAATCGGCTTTATCAAGACCAGTCTCCCTCCATGAGAAAACCACAGTCATTTCACAATGAAAACAGCCGCTCTGTTTTCTCACCTGCTATGAAAACACTCCCCGTCTTCTTTGTCAAACAACAACAAGGTCAACTACATCCTGAGATTAAAAAGATTCCTTTCCTCCTCCTCCTCCTCCTCCTCCGACCCCCCCGCCGCCGCCATAAACCCTCCTGCCAGGAAGCCGTGACACGGGGCCTCCAGACAGGCCCCGCTATTGAGGCCCCGACGCCAACGCCCTCCTTTCACGCCACACTGGAGCAGCAGTGTGAGGCTCCATAGAGACCGGCGCACTGGCGGCTCTTTCATATCGGGGCCCACACGCCCTTTTTCCAGGCTAGCGCAAACACAGACACGCCCTTCCCCTTGGCCGCCAACGAGGCCGTGAGCGAGAGACGTGTGGCTGCGATCTCGACGCGGATGCGCGAGCCTGGAATTAAGTCTAAAACAAATAGACGACGACCGATAAAAGGAGCTGCCAGAGATTCTTCTGTGACAGGCTACATGAAGGCTAACGCTAACACCGCGGCGCTCTGAAAGCCGCCCAATTAACCCGCGGACGTGTTCCGTGAGCTCTCGGCGCCCCTCGACCTCCGTTTGTAATCAGTGCATTCTTGAGTCCCTCGACGGGTTCCTGGGATATCGCGACCATCAGCATGGGACGGACGGACGGACGGACAACTCGAGGACTCAATGTCAAAAACCATGAGATCACCCACCTTCTTTATTAAATAGAACCCGTCCCCATTGTGAACCAGGTAAAATCAGAGACAGAAGGGGGACAGCAGGACGCCGCCTGCAGAAGCAGGCGTCAGAGCAACAGATCCTCGTCATCGTTCTGAACTTATGAAGAAGGTTGCGTGTAAAGTGGGAGGTTTTGTAAAAGGACTGAGGTCCTCGAACAGGACAAACTCCCCCTTTCTGTCCGGTGAGGAGCTTTAAACAAGCTCAGCCAGCGCGTGGACCCCCCCCCCCCCTCAGTACACAAATACACATCCTCAACACCACCAGCCAGAAGCACATAAAACGGGGCATACGAGGCCCAGCGTTATGCTAACGCTACACAACAGTGTCCCCCACTGTGGTCTCAACCAGTCTGCAGGGGGGGGGCGGTGAGCAGAGACACAAAGCGAGCGCTCACGACGCACAAAAGGGCCGAAACCGGCAGAACGACGACACGAGGAAAGAAAAGAGGGCGAATGGGAGCCAAGATGTCCATTACATGCTTCTCTGCAACGCTGGAATCTGTTGCACCAACTGACCTCGTCCCCTCAGCTGGACGGCGTGTTAGAGGGGGGAGGGGGGGGGGGGGCAGCAGGCGGTCTTCCTTCTCACTGGAACACATCGCACAGCTGGTTGAAGCGTCAGCAGATTGAGACCAATAATGTTGGTTTTCTATTTCTAACTGCATTGATCTTTTGGTGGATTCTTACCGCTCACAATAAACTGGAAAAGCAACTAGCGGTCACAGGTTTCCCCCACGGCCAGGTGAATGAGGGGGGCGGAGCCTGTGGGCCCTCTCGCTCACTGATTCCTCCCCCTTTCCCCTCCCACGTTCTCCCGGTTGACCGTGCCGGAGCCCCCCCCCCCCTCCCGCCCCCCGAGTCCCGGGAGGCCTCGGCAGGTCACACCTCCATGTCAATCCACGACGGAACAGGGACCCACTGTGACACGTGTTACCCGTGTGGCTGTGAAAGCAATGCATTCTGGGACTCCTAACCCCCCCCCTTCCTATCATAGCTATTCAACTGTTAACAAATGACCTTAAAGTGTTGAGATTACATTCCTCTCGTCAGGTGTGCCGGAGCTTACAGTTCAAATGTGTTGCGGTGAACGTGATGGTTTCAGGAGTAACCTTCACACAACAATCTGAGTTACACACTGGATCGTTATTCAATCAGCATCTTTGGGATGTAATGAAGGGCTTCGTCTCAGGCACCGTCCTCCCCTCCACAGGGTTAGATCATATCGCTGTCGAGGCCACATTGTTCTGCTCGCAGAAACACCATGTGGGAGCGTGAGATTACAGAACCTCCATTGCAGCGGCGCCGTACGCAAGAGGCGGTCGGAAGGTTTGTGCAAACAGGAAACAATGGGCGAACGTCCGGAGCCCGAGGAGGAACTGGGCCGGCGTCACAGCCAGAGACCAGAGAAACGGAGACTTTTCATTTGGGATTAAGGGAAAGTAGCTTTAGATTTAGAAGCCTTTGACCAAAAAGGTGGAGTCAAGTTTACGCCCTGCTTTTTCTCTGGAGACATTTTATTACAATTTATCAAAAGTTCATGCTAGTCAAAATAATTGTGTAAATTATCCCAATACTGGAACATCAGCCATTTTGTTAAGAATTAACAGGGGTTTTTTTGCAATCGGATTTCTTTAAGCAATCTTGAGCATCAGGCCGGATGTTTCACCTCCCTTGTTAATCTGAATAATGTTTCATGAGCTCCTTAAACCAACTGTTATGAGGTTTAACGGGTCATCATTTCCTCTGATATCGGCTTTAAAACACCAACAGAAAGCCTTAATAAATCCATTTCTTGAGGATAAAGATCCTTCAACTGCAGTCAAAAGACAGATGTGGGATCACACAGAGATCGTGTCTGCTGGCCGTGGAGGGCGGATTAAAAACAACGTGCCCTGACGCGTAGGAACGTACGCGCCTGGAGACGCCGGATCCTTCGCTGTCACTCACTTTGCCACGAGCTGGGTTTTTTTTTTTTTTGTGTGACTCAGCGACAACCGCAGAAAAAAACAAAAAAAAACATCTGTATTCGTAGGTTCAGCCGACAAGCGCAGATGTGTCGGGCCTCGGCAGAGGAGGAGCCCTGTCGCCCTCAGGCGAACTCCGCTGTCACTAGGCAACCGTCACTATGACATCACTGCGCTGTTGAGGTAAACAATGTTTTATTTTCACAGGTACAGTCAGCATACTTAAATTAAAACGTGCAACGTGTCATAGAATCGTATTGCAACTCTCCAAATAAATATTCCTCCCTGGGCCCGGTGTCATTTCAGGCCTGATCCAGGCTGCTATTGAAGCCGTCACACAGTCTCAATACCACCGATACGTCCACTGCTGTTCCATAAAGGGTATCTGATGTTTTACACACAGACCCAGGAGGATTTGTCTGCGGATTAACATAACAAATAAGCATATTGTGTTTCCTTATAATCAAACTTTCCACCGTGCAGTATTTTCGGACTCATTGAGAAGCCTCAAAATGTTCCCGTCGAGTGCGCCCAGTTATTCAGCAGCTCAGTTGCATGCAAATACGGATTTAAATACAAGTATGCTGTTGAAAGACAAATGGAAGCTCCTTGACGAAAGCGCGGTCTAATAGTCAAAGCGCCCAGAGGCTTCTTATGACGTCACTCACGTTTAAAGACAAAATACTCATGTTTAATCAGTACAGACTCTGATCAGAAACAGAAGCATTTCCAAGACCATCAATTTACAGAAAGTGTGTATATTTTCCATCAAATCCTTAAACCTTGGAACGACTTCATGGTTACACTGAACCCTGTAATTTTAAGAAATGACACCAAACGCTAATTAGACGGCGTTTAACTTGGACGTAACACCCTTGTTGAGCTCCATCTAAACAGGGGCGGGGCAACACAAACGCACAACAATGACTTTCTAAAGGGCGTTTCACAACAAAGTCCACCAGCTGTAAAAAAACAAACTATAAAGTTTCTTTAAAATGAGTTTGTTTCTGATCAAGAAGTCTTCAGCAGCTCGGACACCATCAAACATCCTTCTCTGCATTCAGGAGGTTTGTTAGAGTTATTATACAGTTATTCATACTAACGTGGAGGAAATAGAATGTACTTTACATTCTGTATGAAAACATTTGGCTCTAATACATCAACCAAGATTTACCCAAACTTCCTACAGAAAGATTGTGATAAAATGTACAAATGCCAATTGTCTAAACATTAATGAAGTGGGGTAGTTCCATGTTAAGATTTATCAGTTACTCTCTCGTCTCCTGCCTCTCACGCTCACTTTCCCTCGTCCAATGGGGGCGGGATCCAACCATCACCTGACTGCTGCACAGGTGTTCACTGAGCTGAGCAGTCAGCCACGAGCACGGATCAATAAACAGAAGTATCGCCAGAACATGTCCGACTGCATTCCCACACACGCACAATGCAGAGATAGAAGCTCAGCCAGACACAACCAGGGTCCATCATCCGCTCGTAAAGGGACAGTAGGACAACCAGGGTCCATCGTCCGCTCCTAAAGGGACAGTAGGACAACCAGGGTCCATCGTCTGCTCTTAAAGGGACAGTAGGACAAACGGGGTCCATCATCCGCTCTTAAAGGGACAGTAGGACAAACTGGGTCCATCATCCGCTCGTATAGGGACAGTAGGACAAACGGGGTCCATCATCCGCTCGTAAAGGGACAGTAGGACAAACGAGGTCCATCATCCGCTCTTAAAGGGACAGTAGGACATCCAGGGGTCCATCGAGAAGTCGGCTGCCACGCTGACGCTGACTGCGGTTTCCTCGCAACAAGACATTTTAGACTAAACCAATTAGTAGATCATCCAAAAGAAGGAAGAGTCATCTAGATTGATTGGTTTATTCCTTTTTGGGGGAGGCAGGGGAGGCAGGGGGGGGGGTTGGTCGTCGTTTTGGCCCTGGACAGCATGTCCTCATACAACCGCTCTTAACCGTTCATTTTCCCCAGTGCCATTGCATCAATGCAAAAGAGAGGTTTAGTCAGCTAAAGTACTTAGTTAGGTTGAAACAACTAAAGTACAAAGTTATGTTTAGGAAGAGATTGTTGTTTGGCTTAAAGTTACGTGACAACGTTGTCAACATTCAATTGTTGCGTCACGCGGGAGGGAACAGCCTCAGATGGCGAGAGAGTCTCCGAGTCACGTCTTCGGCACATGAAGCACGTCTCTGCTGCAGGAGCCGTGAGCACAGCATTCAAATGTGGCGCGATAACGTTTGATGGGAACATGAAAATGAGAGCGATAACAGAAGTTTGCATCTGTCTACAGAGGGAAAGAGTGTGTGTGTGTGTGTTCAGGTTGTCTTTGCCCCCAACACACCTGACTCACACCCCCTGCTGTGCACCTGTCAGAGCTGTCGCGCCTGAAACCGAAGTAATGAACGGAGAGAACCTCAGGAGTTTTGTCTTTTTCTTCATACTCAAACGGTGACAAAATGCTTTTATTTTGGTGAACACTCTCCTGGGTATTAATTTGAAAGGAAAGAGCGCAAACTGAGGTAGAAGCGTTCCGTGAAAGCGAGTTCTGACCCAACAGACCACAGCCGGACGAGGACGTCTGAGCAGGTGAGATTAGCGGGAAAACTGCACCTGTGGTTCTTTTTGTTTGATCGGAGCAGCGTTCATCACCTCAGCAGCAGGAGGGGGGGGGGGGGGGACTCAACACACCGGAACAGGTTGCCATGACAACTGTGGTTTTCTGTAGCAACAGTGGGAAACACTCAAATCAACTGAGCGACTGAGTCACTTCCTGTCTCGCGCACGTTCTTCCTCTTTTGAAGCGGAGAGCGAAGCGGCTCCAAACCAGAGTCACTAACTGCAATCACACACGGCTGTTAACGCCCTTGGTGCACACGCACGCACGCACACGTCTTCACAAAAGGCCTCATGTGAAAAGATAGTAGTTAGGCTGAAGTTCTTCAATTATTCTCCCGTCACGTTGAACCGCTCTATAATTATCTGATCTCCGTGTCGAGGAAATCGCATCGGAAAAATCCCCTAAACGAAGCGTCCCGTTTCACGTTCCTTCTCTGCGAGAACCTTCATTTTGATCTGCAAAAAGGAGTCGAAAAGGTTCTGATGTCATCAGAGCTCAAGACCCGCCCCTTCCTGTTGACCCCGCTGAGACCTCATTTCGTAGATGTACGATGGGCAGACACACAAAGTAATCTGGCACAACAACAACAACAACAACAACAAACAAGTTGTGCTTCTATTCTGTTCTGAGTCGCTGGATCGAACACGCCGGGTCAGAATCGTTACACGCGTGTGTGGAATACAGTCGCGTCCCAATGCGTTGGTGCTGTGCATCATGGGAGACCACATGGAAGTAAGATTAAAAAAAAAAAAAAAAGGACTCTCTGGAGTCGCAAAATGATCAAAACAAAAAGGGGCGGGACCAAGCTGCAATTGACTGAAAAGATGAAACGATGAAACGATGAAAGGCGAAATAATACTTTTAATCTGGAGCGATCAGATCACAACCAGCCGCCCCGACAGCATCGTTCCTCCTTCAGCCGGATCTGTATAATAATAATAATAATAATAAATAGCACACTAATGTTCGCCTCAGTGACCTGCAGGATGAATCTGGATGACTTCCTCATAAGTTTGAAATCCTAATTCCTCCCCGCGTGGAACCTTTAGTCCGGTCGCAGTAAGAACCGAATCCACCCTTCTACCGGCGGTGCCGCAGCGCTTACCTCTTGGCCTCCTCCAGGTGACACAGGTACTCGTAGGCCATGTTCTGCTGCCGCTGCTCGTCCATCTCCTCCGCCGTGAGCCGCTCCACGCCATCCAGCACGGCTGCAGGGAACACACCAAAAAACACAAACACGGGGATGAACGCCAGCCAACGTGACCAGGGCACGGCGGAATTTACAGCGAAGGCGCAGGGAGAATAATGGTTATAAAAGAGCGTTTTATGGACTTTTCCAGCGGCTCAGCGGCCTCTCGGGAGCACCTGGCGTAAACACAGGAGGCGTTTTACAAAAGGAAAGTCGCTCATTAGTCCACATGCCAGCTCAGTGCGGCTTTGTGTGCACGCTTATCAATGCGCTGGAAACACAGAATGCTGTGCAGAAGACATGACTGCAGCCCCCTGTCATCAGAGGTGTGTGTGGGGGGGGGGGGGGGGGCCACGCCATCAACAGGTAAATCCTGATTTCAGATGGGGCCTCACACTGGAGAAACTCGACAAACTGACCTTTTACGAGTTAAAAGTTTTCACCCAAAACACAGAAGTGTAAACAAATGCCAGCTAGGCTAAACGCTCCTCGCTCTGCGTGCTTTCTGGATAAAAAAGGAGTGTACAGTGTTGTGTAATCCAGATAAAAGATGGAGGACTAGATCCCACCTTTTCCATAACGTTTTTATAAAGCGCTCGAACACAAAACTGTACAAAACAAAAACACGTTCTGGCTTGTTTTCAATATTTGCCACTAAAGTAAAAGCATCTCGGAGGCCCTAAAAAAAATTTAAAAAAAAATAAAAAGCGAGGCGCGAGGAGCGTGCGCGTGGGACTTTCCTCGCGGGCCTCCTCGCTCCTGCCCGCGCGCCGCTTTACAATTAAGAAGGCGGAAGTCACGATGCGGCTGCAGCCACGCTGTCACACGTCCGAACGACACACAGAACCAACCCCGCGCGGGGTTTCGGGGGGCCGGCGGGGCCCCCGCCCGCCCGCCGGCCCGGCCGGGCCGTCCAGGTGAGCAGGAGAAGGAGACAGGAGGAGAAAGAGGAGCCGGGGGGGAAACTTACAGCCATATCTCGGCCGCAGCCCGTCCGTCTCGTCAGAAGTTGACATCCTCTTCAGCGCTGCAGCGAACAAAGTAGAAAGTTTCACGCGCAGCTTCGGACAGTTTGTCTCCCACACTTTAAATAAAGAAAAGAAAAGAAAAGTCCCCGAACAGCGACGGAAACCTTCGGCGCCGCAGTTCCTTCCCTCGCAGCGCGACTGGAGACTTTTTCTTCTTCTTCTTCTTCTTCTTCTTCTTCTTCAGACCTCACTGATGTCACTGGGTGTGTTCCTCCTGATCCTGAAGTATGCGTTTCAGGAAACGGAGCTCGCGGCCCGCGGGGCGGACGAACCTGCGCGCGCAGCGCCCCCTGCTGGCTGACGGGCCGGGGTCCAACCTGTGGTCCGGGGACCCTCAACAGGGCCACTGCGAATGGGTTGAGGGTTTATGGTTCAGTTACCAAAAACATACAGAAAGCCGAGTGGGTTCAATTCAGTGTTTGATTGAAAACGACGGGGAGAAAGAAAATGAAATGACAACAAAAATTACAAAAAAAAACAATGTTACAAAAATAATTTTGTATTATTGTAATCAGCTTTATTTTTGTCTCTTTGTCGAATGGTTTAATAGTTTATTTCGCCTTTTAAAAAACTCTTTAAAATAATAAAGTAATTAATAACCTAATGTTTTGTATTCATTTCATATGGTCAGTGTAATTTGTGCAATAAAGAAAATACTCCTTTATTTCACTTCTACTCTCACCTCTTTTCCATTGATTTATTCTTATTAAACTTTAAAACATTTATTTAAATTAATTCATTTAATTTACATAGTTTGCATGCTCTATACATATATTTTATATATATTTTATTTTTAGTATTTTGTGAATGTGTCATCTTAAATCTCTTCTCACAAGACTTAAGAACAAACAAATTGCATCCTAACGTGACCTCAAGTTTATGAGGAGTTTTTGTTAATTAATCGTTAATAAGAAGTTTAATTTTCCAACATAACGTCTTCATTAACTGAATTCTTTGTCACAGTTATATTAAATTGTTATCTCATCAAATATGCTCACCGTGGGTTGAGGAGTGTTTGGTGATTACATTTCATTTGATTTAAGGCTTAAGTATTCAGTTTAAACCAAAAATCTAAGGATTCCATCGTTATAATTCTTCTTACACTCTTACAATAAACCTTCGGCGCACGCAAGACGGGGGGTGAAAAGACACGCAATGGACACGCACGCGCAAGGGGCTCTTGTCTTTGACTCAAATATGTCAACAACATGAAGCGGAACACACACTTGTGTTGTATTTGCAGAAAACTCCCAATACAAACAACTTTGGTCTGAACAGCATTAATCAACTAGTAGAAGTTTTCCCGGTTGTGTTGAACACGTCCCCCTATCACCGCTGAAGAAACCTCTGATTGACTCATTAATAACAGTCACAACTTACTTTAGAGACCTCAGGCGGATCAATAATACACTCATTGTAATAAATGATGGTGTTTTAATGAGTTTCTCTGTGCTTTACGGTGTTTAATGAAAAAGTAGCTGACTGAATAAAAGCCTGTATCACGTGACCGGGTGGCTTTCCTTTCCCCCTGATGGGACCAGCTGGAGACGCATGATCCCATGTTCTACTTCTAATTGGATAATCACGTGAGGCCTGCGGGGGCGGGGCTTAACGCTTGACAGCGCTGGTGGACCTGCTGCCAACCCGCTTCTCCCCGAGTCCTGGGCTGGATTTGAATTGTCAAATGTTCTTCCTAACTGAGTGAAACGAGCAAGTAGTGTAAGTACGTCTAATGTCGAGGAAAGGAGCTTCAATGCTTCCCTACTTTAGGAACCACTGGACCATCCTTCACCAACGGAAAGGAGATCATGACAAGTTACAGAGACGCTTATCCCTTTGTTAGACGAATCACTTTTGATCATTTACGCTGCCTCGTTACGGGCCTTGAGCCAGGAAACGGAGCCGGCGGGTTCCACGTGGAAGTCTACTGGCCAATCCTCTGCCAAACGGCGCTGAGCGGACAGCTCTTCAATCTGCAAGCCTCATCTTGCACTGACACGGCTAAGCCAGCTAACAATCAGTTGCGTGAAATAGTTGCTCACTCGCTCACAAGACAACCACGTTTCTCTGGCTTCATCCGATCACCAAAAAGGACGAAACCCACACAGCTCCCATGGGGGGGGGGGGTCCGGTCGGGCGTCTCTGAAATACTGTTTTTTTTTCATTATATTGTGCATGTTGTGTTTGATGTGCTGCTGCAGCACAGACTAGTACCTATTGTGATGTCATGAGCGGAAGGGTCGCTGTTATTAAGAATTGCTATTCCTGTTTCAAACCCACATTGTCATTGGTCTAAATGAGGGCATGAGATGAATGGTTCCGGTGCTGAGCCTTTGATCATCCATGCTACGGGTGTTTTATTCAAGCCTCTGCTTTCCCAAAGTATTTTATTTCACAAAAGGCGTCGTGACAAAGGCCATTTAGAGTCCAACCCGGGGAGACAACATGTTCCCTTTCCTGTCATCTTCCCGTCTTTGGCTCAATGGATGCCAACCAGGAGGCCCTGTGTTTGTTGTTCCTGGCGTTCACTGCAGTGGACGAGCAGCGGACCGCTGTCATTCCTACCAGTGTTGTTCAAATTAGACCATTAAGGTTATTGATCATCGATCCTTTGCTCCAGACTGACAGCGTTGCACCAAGAGACTTGGAGATGGATGGAGAGACCTTCATCACTTCAATCAACCTGCAGACTGATGGAGAGTCCTTTAGTGAAGGAAATGTCATGGTGGGTTTGCTGTTAACCTTTGACCCTGGGATGAAATAGTGTTGCTGCGGTAGATCGCAAAAAGGAGCTGCGCACTCATTTTGTGACTGAAAACTGTGAAAATAAAGAACAACTCCCTATTTCATCAGGTATTTTTTTTAATTTATTAGTGCTGAGTGGACATCCACATAACAGGTGCAGTACAGTGTCTGAATGTTCTAAAGCATTTCTTTCTTTTTAGGATGTTCTGTGCATGGAAAGACATCCTCTCACAGAGGTGTACTGCACATGATAACGTCCTCAGGTTTTGTTAATTGGTGATGACCAGTGCACCAATCTCATTATTTTACTCAACACACTGAGAGACACATTATGGATCAATTTCAGCCCAGTGAAAGTTGATCAATACCAAGGATCCCCTCTGAGGGGATGGATGGTGGAGGGTGACTCATACAGACAGAAGCTAATGCATGTTTACGGTATTATTCTCTTTTACGGCCTCATGGCAAACAATAAAGATAATGAAGCACAATTGACAAAAACAGACGCAAATTGATTTTTCTCCCGTGCAATTTGCAAAATGAATGTGTTTTCTTCCCCCGGTGCCATGACAAGCTACACAAATGTAAAAAGATAAATTTGATTAATACATCTGCAGATGCCAACCTTTGATTAAAAATCAGGTGCGAGCCGGTTGACCTGTTGTGTGCTGATAACGTGCCAGAAACTTGAAAAACATGTTATATTTCAGAAGCAGAGCAGACAATTAAAACAAAGATATTTCAGCCAAAAACCCAAAGTTTGTATATAATTCTCTGATGACTCTGCAGTGGGATGGACGGGAGGAGTAGTACAGGGCAGCAGTGGAGGACTTTGTGGTGTGGGCGGGCAGAAAACTCCTGCTCCTGAACGTGGCCAAGACCCGAGAGATGGTGGTCGACTTCGGGAGGAAGACGACAGCTCCGCTACCGCTGAGGGTTCTGGGAGAGGAGGTGGCCGTGGTCGAGGACTGCAAGTACCTGGGTGTCTCCATCGACAACAGACTGAACTGGAAGACCAACATCAACGCCGTCTACAGGAAGGGGACGAGTCGACTCTTTTTCCTGAGGAAGCTTCGATCGTTCCATGTGTGCAGCCAGATGTTGGAGATGTTCCATCAGTCTGTTGTGGTCGGTGCTTTGTACTTGCCGTGGTCTGCTGGGGGAGCAGCATTGGAGCTGGTGACACCAACAGACTTAACAAACTTGTTAAGAAGGCCGGCTCCATCATTGGCTGCAAACAGGACAGCTTGGAGAAGGTGTTGGAGGGGAGGTCACTGAAGAAACTGTTATCCGTATTGGATAATCCTGACCACCTGCTGCAGGGACAGCGGAGCACGTCCTCCAACAGACTCCTTCAGCTCCGCTGTCACAAGGACGATACAGGAGATCATTCCTGCCCAGTGCAACAACACTCTACAATAAATCATCCCAGGCTAAATAATGACAATAACAACCCTGTACTGCTGTGATGCTGCTGCTCTTCCTCTTCTCCTTTTACAAATTATTATTATTGTCTCTTTTGGAAGGTTATTCTTTTGTTTCAGTTTTAGTTTATTTAATTTAATTTAATTTAATTTAATATTTCTATCTTATTATATTGTATATAATGTGTATCTTTTTATTCTATTTTCTTCCCTGTACACGCTGCTGTGATACCAAAATTTCCCTCTTGAGGGATCAATAAAGTATCAATCTATCTCAATGCTAACGGTTATGTGCTTTCCATAGAAAGAGTGGGAAACACTTTACATATGCACTAATTAATAATACTTGATTGCCGTTGAAGCAACTTGATCAATACAGAATTCAGAGCATTTCTGTTTCCACCACGTTGCTCTCAACATGCCTAAAGCTGAGCACGTGGCTAGCAGCTAACGTGCTAACGTGCTAACAACAACAGCAGTGCTGACAGAGGAACCTGAGGGGAAAGTAACAGAAAGTGTCAACGGCAAATCAAAACAACACATTTCTTCACCCCAAAAATATCGAATATCGAATACAATTCAGAGAAATTACAGGTAACAAAAGACATTATTGGAACTTTAAAAAATAAGAAGTCATCTTAGTTGCTCAGAAGTTAATTGATGTAAAACCAGGATCATTTTTCCTATAAAAGTAGTAAAAGAGGAGAGGAACCAGGTGATAAACCTGTGCACATTTAATCAGTTTACAGATTCTGTCTTCGTGTTTCTGCGGCTGAACAGTGAGAAAAATATGACCGCTGCGTTGAGTGAATCCAAATGGATGATGCAGAAAGTGATGTACGGCAACAAGAGAGGGTTTCTGCGACGGGAAGATAAACCGAATAATTTAGTTTAAATGAACCATGAGTTAAATTTACATTTCTTCAGATTAATAGAAGAATCAGTTCATGAAAAAACCTCCATCTTCCGTGTTCATGAATCATAATAATGCACCTCTGCACACCATGCAGCTTATGAAAAGGATCCATCATG